CTTTTTTTTACTCATCAGTCACCAATTCAATAACTTCCCTTACTCTCCATATCTTCTCACCTTTTCTTTCTCAGCCTTCCTTCTGCCCATTTCACTTTAAGGGGACATAGGTGTAGTAGGGTGAAATAGACTAGGGCTCACAAAGAATAACATTTGTTACAAAAGTTGTTGGTGTGAGTTTTTGTTTGTTTTATGGAATGAAAACATGCTGTTTTTTTTGTATTTACTTTAGTATTTTATGACAATATTTACAATTTATAATTATTCTATTAATTTTTTTCCAATTAAGCACTTTGATTTTATTCACTAGCAGTGGATGAAAGCACCAACTGCAAAGATACAGCACAGAGTGTTTTTATTCAAGAAGTAGATAAAAATTTTGACATGTGTTGGATTTCTTACATTGCTTGTAAATGCTAGATCAGTCACCCACTCAGTGTAATAAAACAGTATTGATACTTCATGCTTCATGAGCTTTGGTCCCTGATTATAAGATAACTTTTTTTTGATTTTAGATATTCCAGAAACTACCAGTGTAATTTTCTTTTATAAGTTTGTCTAAATTTGACAAGTGAATAGGAACTACTGGGTTTAATGTAGAAATGTTATTGTTAATCAATATTTTTGTTCTTTTTTTTTTTCATCAAGTTGAAAATGAGAGCTGGTGGTGTTGAGCCCTCTCGTATGGGCAAGAAGAAACGTTCCCCAAAACGTCGACATGAAAGATCCTCTGCCACGCCACCATCGTCCCAACACAGCCAGAATAAGCAACCAAATGACAAGACATCTGCAACAATGACCACAACAGCAACACCAAATACAGCAGCAGCAGCAACATCACTACAAACGGCAGAATCTACCATTTCCACTACTGTAACAGGAACAGTTGTCCCAATGGGAGCAGCATCAGTTGCTGCTGCTGGTACAGAAGCACCAGTTGTATTAACAGCTTCTGCAGCGGGAGCTGCCAGCAATGAAGTAGAAGAGTCAAGTGAAAATAAAGAAATGGCAATGAGCAGTGGTGGTGAACCTTCAGAATCAGCTCTGTTGTCTACTGATGTCAGTTGTGAAACCATGGCGGAGGAGATAATAGCTACAACTCCTGCAGCTTTGCCTCAGGAAAAAACTGTCATTGATATTAATAATAGCTTCCAGGTAACTCACTGTATATATATATATATATATATATATATATATATATTTGTTTTTTGTTTAGTGATGAATAAAATGTAATGTATGTGTTTGACCGTGTGTGCATGTCATAGTCAGTGATTGAATTGCAGTGCCTACTGTAACTGTACAGTCTGATTATTGAGTGACACTCTCTGTCACAATTTCTGCAGTTGTAATCCATGCCTGGTTCTGTGGATGCTGTCACTGCCTCCACTCTTTCTGTTGATCCTTTCTCCTCTTCTCACTTGTCTGGATGTTTGCCTTGCCCAACAAGCCGCTGTTTACTACAGTCAATGGGTGCTAGATTGATATTGTCTACTTTTAGGTTTTTTTTTTTTTTTTTTACAAATGTCTTTGTAATGAAGAATGGGCCTTTGAAAATCTGGAACCAGTGCCAAGATCACCATATAACATGTCCTTTTCATATTTGTTCATCTTGTAGCTGATATGACCAAAGCTAGTGCATGCATCTTTTGATGAACAAGTTAAATAAGCTTGGTATTCCTATACATACCAAAATGTTCTTGTTTGGGTCACTGTCCTACCAGGGGACTCTTAGAATCCTTTTTGTCTCAAATGGAAAGCAAGGTCCTTTGCTGTTATAAAGCAATGTACTCAACATGCAGACCTGCTACATCTTCATTACAGTGTTGGGGGTCATATGAATTTTTCCCAGATTCTTTGCTAGGTGAGTTATTGTTGTTGTTGCCCTGTTAATCTATGTATTCAAAAAAATGCTACTGCAAATGGGGAACTGGTATATGGGGAATTCCTCCACTACCTCAACACTGTAGCTGCTGATGGAGATTTTGGGAATACTGCTGTTGTCTTGATCCATGATGTTGGTCTTTTTGAGATTGATAGCGAGACTAAAGTATTTTTGAATACACATATGAAGCAGCAGTTATGTGATTGTAAAGCCTCTAAGTACACACAGTCAGGCCAGCAGCATCTGCAAATATCACAACATAATCTTTGCTTGAAGATATGCTTTCCTTTGTTTCTCATGTGGAGATTTACATCATCTTCCAGTTGTCTTTGCTTTAAATACTTATGCTGCTGCTTTAGTGAGAAGACCATGTCAATTGTTGATCTTTCAGAGAAGACCATGTCAGTTGTTGATTCTTTCTGAATCTACGTTGTATCCCAGTGTATACATGTTCTGCAAATAACATGGGCAAAATGCCTTCCCACCAGCACTGATATGGTATCTTTCATTGGTAGTTTTTACAGTCACTATGACTGTTCTTATAAAGCATGATGTTAATATCATGCATGTCTTAAAGAATTGACTCCTTCCTCTTGTCAGCACTGCAGAATGTGCTTGTGTAAATGGTTGGGAGAGCCCTCTTGTCAACCAGGGCAATACTATTGTTTCTTAGGGCTTTTATCATAGTCTAGGGAGTTAATAACCATGCTGAGCTCCTTTACAGAGATTAGAACATCAAGCTCTTCTACGACAGTCAAGAGGTTAGTATCCCTATCTGCTGACTTAGTGGCAATGTCCTCCACTGAATGCTGGTAATGCACATTTCATGTCTATCTATTTGCTTCTGTCTTTTATGAAGTTGCCAGATGTTGACTTTAGGGATGAAATCTTGAACCAAAATCTTTCTTCATGCCATTGTACATAGTACAGATGTTGTCACAATCAGTGGAGAGTTGAATGCTCTGACAGAGGTTCAGCCAATAGTCATTGTTGAATGATCAGTTGTGCCTCAATTTATGTCTTCTCTGAAGTTCCCTCCTTCTGGTTAAACTGTACTATTTGCTTGGCTGTGATTGCTGGCTTGAATTCAGTGATTTCTATGTCAAATTTGTAGATGTTGTCAGGGATGTGATTCCATCTCTCTTCAGCTTTCCTTGAGAGTCTCTTCAATAAAACACTTGCATAAGTATGAAATAATGTCTTGATTGTGTTTCATGTATAGTTGCCTTTTCTGATTTGCATGAGATATATAATATGCAACTTTTGTTAAACATCATAGACAATTTTATCTATTTATTTATTTTTTTTACTTAACATGTCTGAATTCATTGTGTAGATACTGTCCAAATGTTTGGAATCTAGACCATAAAATGTAAAGACAAAAACAAAATGATTTGTTAGTAAACTGTTTTTGTATTTTACTTTTTTAATTTGCCATTGCAGAATCATTTTTTTCAGTAAATGTTCACCTAATACAAGGCCCAAGAGCCGCTTTGAGTGAGATTGTTGTATGAACATAAGAGGCGGTGGTAAGAAGTGTAGATTATGAGGATATGTAGGATAGATAACAGTTAACCCTAGACTTGAAGTTAAGATTATAGTGATCAAAGAAGTATCCTCTTTGCGGTTTGTTCCATGAAGTGGAATTTGTCACTAGGCAAATGCATCTTTCAGTTATGAACTTAAAAAACTAATACCTGAAGTGAAGATGATCTGAGATTTTTTTTTTCACAGATTGTGATAAGAACTTTGGTAATGTAACACCATTTTTGCACTTAGTGTTCTAGAAATATACATTATTAAGGCTTCTGATTATGATAATCATCAAGAGTGTAGCCATAAATACTAGAACTAACATTTGGACAATACCTACACATGAATCATGAATTAAGATATGTATTCTCTTATATGTAAACAAGAAAAGTTTAAAAAAACATTTATTGTTCTTTAGCAGCTTGCATTAATGAATGTTTACTGCTTAAACATAAATACAAAATCATCTTTAATTAATTTTATTTTATTTCCTTTATGCAACTAGGCACACATTTTTCACTTTATTAAAAGCCTCAGCAGCTCAGTTCACATGAAAAATAATAAATTATTAAATAAAACAATGTTAAAAAAAAGAAGTGAAAATAATTTTTGCATGAAAATTATGAATGTTTACAATTTTTTTATGCATATACACCTTTGAAAATAAACTTTGGAGATTTTTTTGATGGTGGTTAAAGCTCTTAACTTATGTTGTACTGTATTTATAACAATGGACATTTTGATGATAAATCAGATGCTGAGTAGAATACTTAAAGCCCATTACCATATAAAACTCATTTTACTATTTTGGTTGATATATTAAACTTGAAATTGCTGTTATATATATGTTAAATATTTTATTATTTGTTGATCAATCAATAAAAATTCCATTTATTTTTACTACATTTTTCTTCAACAAATATAGAAACTTTTTACATCATAATTTTTGTTGAAGTTTAAAATTGAGCTGCTGCGAGGAATATTCAGTGTTGATTGTAAATAAACAGATTTTGATGTTAAATTTTATAAATAAATGCAGTTTTTCAAAAGCATCTATATTATAGATAAAATTTCCCAGTAATATTATCACAAAAATGTTGTAAAACTTAGTTTTTATGACCAAGTTAAATTTTGATCTGTTTTTATAATAAACATTATAAAAACAAAGCTTTTAAAGATTTGAAGCTTATAAAAAAACTGAACATTTTGTTGAATGACATTATGTAACCGAGGCAAAAGATTTTATTTGATTATTAATGTTAGTTTATATCCATACAGGATTCAGAGGTTGAGGTAAATATAATCTTTCATTCCAGGTATTTGGAATTTGTTTGGTTTACTTAACCACAAGGTTTTGTTTCTTCTGTCCTTTCCTCCCACCTCTATTTTGGGATTTAATTAATTTGGGATTGTTTTTATTTTCTGATTTTACTCTTGCTTTGGCTGTTCAAATAAATTTGTCCTTAAAAGAGAAACCAAGTTCATGATAACAATGTATGTTTGGTGCATGTATTATGTAAGTAAGCAGCAGTAAAATGTAGTCAGCATTTGGAAGCATCTATAAATAAGTCCACCTGGTTCTATTCATTCATTTTGAAAACTTGTCTTCATTCATAACTGCATGAAATAAGGAGTTTAATATTATCTCTATACCTGTGATTGGATTAACCAGATTGGCTTGCAAGACTGGGTTTGAATTCCTTCTGTTGGCTATTTCATTTGTAGATTCCATACATTTAAAAATGCACTTGTACTGAAAACTGTCTAGTAACCCTGACAATCTTTTTTCTTGCTTTTTAATCTAATTAATTCTATTGACTTTTTAAATAAAAATTATTTTCCATCTTATGTTTGCTTTTCTAACAACTCATTTCAGTTTGATAGTCATTATCATCCTCTATAAATCCTAAAAATTTTAGAGGATATATCTTGTACTTCTAAAGATTCATTTAGTGTTTACCCGACTCAGTGATTGATATAAACATGTAGGCTATTATTACAGGTACGTCCAAAGCAGGTCTACCAGACTGGGTTACATTTAAAAACTCACCTAGTGCTACTGTTACCAAATATTATGGATAGGTCAGCTATGAGTATCAGTATGACTATTAGTATATTTAAAATTGATCAAACCATCAAAAGCTTTTTGTATATAATGTTAAATGTAACTGTGATTCCTGATTAAATTTGTGTGCCTGTGTGCTTTAATATCTTTATTATCTTTACTGTTAATATTATCAAAATAATTACTTCTTTTCTGTGGTAATTTATGAGCAGTTTAAAAATCTGTTTTTTTGAAATGGAATTTAGAGATAGAAACAGAATCTCAGAGTATAATATTTACCATATATTTAATTTATGAATATTAAATCTGTCATACACAGAAATATATCAATATATACAGGTAGCATTTGTTATCTGATATTGTTTAGATAATTGTGGTGGAAAGTATTTTTTAAATTATTCCCTTACATTAATTTTACTTGATTTAACTTTAAATATTTAAATCATAAAACAATTGATATTTTATGAAAAACAATTATTTAAAAAATCTAAATAATTGCTTTCAAAAACATTGATATATTTTTTGATGTAGCTTAGTAAAATGTTAGCATAGAATAATAGCATTTTTTTTTAATACAAAATATAATTAAACTTGCCATAAAATATTCTCTTGAAATCACTGTCAATGTATCTTTACTGTCTGTTTATTTTTCAAATGGTGAAAAGTCAAGCAATATTTTAAATAATTGTAGAATTCCCAGTTCATTTTAGTGTCTTTTATATTTGACACAATAGTTCACCTTGCATTATAAATCAATTAAAAGCAGTTTCATTTAAAAGCAAAAATAATTGAGTTTTAAGTGTGATAAGTGTACTGATTTTATTGTTAAACAGGTGCAAAGCATTTTTAATTAAAGATGAGCAAAAATATTTTTTTACTGTATATTTAGTTTAGTTTTCAACAGAGATGACACCAAGAAGCTTTGCACACATATAATGATACTACACAAAACTTGTTTTCTCTCAAATCTTTTGTGGATTTGTTTATTTCTTGAATCTAATCCAATTTATAAATGATTATTTTAAAAATATCATTGAATAATCTGTTCTGTTTTTTGGTAGAAATATCACTTGGTGAAACCTTTTTTCAAACCATCATGGATGTCTAGCATTACCTAGATTGAACATATTGAATCATCATTAATTTAGTCCAGTCATTGGGTATATCAAATTATTTTCATCTATTTAAATTACAATTAAGAAGTTTTCAGTGATACAAGTTATAAAAGTTTTTGGTTGCTGGTAATTGGGTTTTCTTCTATCTTGAGTTTTAAAGCAACATTTATCAACAGCTGATGGTTACTCTCATCTGGTCTTTATTTCAAAGGACAAATCACCATCACTTTTGGGCACTATTGTCAGATATTTTTTTCCTTCTTCTCAGATTCTACTATTATTGTCAGAGGCTTTGTGACCCATTTTAAAATAATGCCTCAAAACTGCTAGAATCTCAATACTTGTATCTGCCATTTATAACAGTTCAGGAGTATTGATAATGATATTATAATAGAATTGTAATCTTTATATATATATATATATATATATATATATATATATATATATGAACTAAGACTTGGAGTAAAGGTTTCTAAAGATGAAAATACTTTTGATACATGCTAATAAATATGAAATTGATGAAATTTAATGAAACAAAGTAGTTTTTTTTCCTTAACTGTTCAGTACAAATTACTTGCTTTTTGATCTTTATCTTGTTTGTTTAATTTTGCTTTATCTATTCATTTTGATATTGAGGTGCATTAGTTTTAATATTCATTCAGTCTGGATTATAGCAATTTTTAACTTTAAATTGTGGTTTCAACTTCTTACAAAATTTTCATCAAATCTACTTGTAAAACTTTTCTATATTTACTGATCTTTATTTTTTCTTGAAGTAGAAAATTTCTTTGGGTAAATATAAGAAATATAGATTTTTATTTTGAATGTAAAATTTAAATCTAAATAATTAATTTTCTGTTGCAATGGAAATTCAGATGAATAAAAACATTTTATGTCATTCAAATAAAATATACTGAAGTTATTGTTGGTGTTCAGATAAAAATAAGATTTTGAATGGAAATTTTCTTGTCAGGCAGATTCTTTACATTTTATTTAATATATTTTATATAAAATCTGAACTTATTTTTTAAATAGAAAGAACATTAAAAGTGTAAAAGTAGAAGTAGATAAATTGTTAAAAGAAAATAATTACGAACATAAAGAGATTATACTAAAAACATTTTCATAGGATAAAAAATTCTGAAATATGATGTTAGAAAATTTTTGATGGGTATTTTATAAAAGATCTTTATTGTAGATTTATTGTTTCCAAAATATTTAGCTCAGTTTAAGTAAAAATATGACAATTTATTTTTAAAATATTTTTTGAACATAAACTTTATTTAAGTATGTATTTACTGTTTTCTTCCATTAATGTCTGCCATTTTTCAGGCAACTTCATAATTCCATCCTACCAGAATGTTTATCATTCTGAGTAAAGAACTTCTCTAGGTAAATTTTGTGGTCTTCCAGAAAATGGAATTTTTAGGTTTCGTTTTTTTTTTTTTTTTTTCATAAAAAGAATTCTGTAAAAACTGGAATAAATGGTAATCTAAAGTGGAATAAAGGTAGGAATCTATCTCCCATCCCCCAGCTATAGGTTAAATAACAGGACTTGTATCTGGAAAAATCATTGTTATTCTCAAAAAATGTTTAATGCAATATTCACTCATAAAACAAGAATTATTCTTATAAACTAAAATATGTCTTGGCTTTAAATAACTTGCAAACAGTTGCAAACAAACAAAATCTAGTCAATCATCACAGTTTAAAAAAAAAAAATACATTTTCATTTCATTACATTTAAGTTACAAATCACATATGGGAATATAAATCCAATATTTTTTTCTGCTTAACTTATGTAGAAATTACACATCAAAGCAATTAACATAACCAAACTTGTACAATTAATTTTCAGTACTTAAATTGGATATTTTGAGTACATTGGCTATATTCCATGTCATATTCTCAAGTAATGTCTTTATTTGATCACTTAACCTCAACTGGTCCAAATGTATAGCATTGTCCAGCAAGAAATTTATAAAGCATGTTTGACATTTTTAGTCATTCACAGTTCATTCTCCATAAACTGCACAAAAAACATTTTTGCATTTAGTTGCATTTTTAAAAAAGCATAAGCTAAAAATATTACTTATTTTCTGCCATGTTTGATATTAATGAAAATATACTAATTTTGACTTTTTAATGATGAATGCTGATATAATAATTGTCACAGCTAAATCAAATGTGATCCTTTTGAATGTAATTAAAACTAAATACTTTTAATGCTACCTAATAACACAATGAACGTTTTTGGCAACCTAATATAATCTAATTATGTGGCAAATGTTTTGTTTCCAGAAGGTACAATTATGAACTGACTAGAATCAAATTTAGAAGCGATTTTTGAATTGATAGGTTTTGAAGAGATCAGCTGCAACCTAGGTTCCAAATTTAAATACTCCAGAAGTACAAGTTTTTCCCTCAAAACAAGAATCCTAGTAGATTTTTTTTGGTTATTTTTGCAACTATGCTTTGACCAAAATTAGGAAAACATCATTAATCTAAATTATTTTGTGGAGAATTGCATATGGAAACAACATTCTCAGCATTTTTAGTATGTTATTTTGAATGAAACCCAAGTTATTCTTTAAATAATACTAAATGCATCCTTACTCTAAAATAAGGAATATGTTAAGTAATATTACCAAGTAAATATTTCTTTGAGTCTCTTCTAACAAATGGTCTTAGCAGAAGAAAAAATTTCATTGTTTAATTTTAGTGTTGAGCAAATAGCAACAAAGTAAATATAGGAATTGATAATACCATAAATACATGAAGAACTGCAGAAATATTTTAAATTTGGCTTATTAAAGAGAATTACAGCACAAAATTAAAAATATAAAAAAATATATATATATTCAGTGATGAAAAATGAATCTTCTAATAGAGATCTTAAATACTTTCACTGTGATATATTTTTTTTCCATTTTTTTTTAAAAATGTTTTCATGAGTACAATTTGAAGAATAATGCTTGCTACCTTGAATTTTTCATTTTACTTTTTCTGCAATTATCTTCCTTATTTAGGAAGCTTCAGACAAAGAAAATTCTGATGTGCGGTTACCTGGAGATGGTGGATGTGATGAAATAAGTTTAGATGCTGAGGAAAGTCGAGCTGACAAAGAATCTGATAAAGATGATCTAAAAGAACTGGACGCAGAAATATCTGATTCCATTTCATCAAGTCAAGAACGAATAAATGTTACTAGGCCCAACAGCTTACAGGTAAGATTTCTTTCTTTTTTTTAAATATATTTTTCTTCTAAAAAAACATTTTAGATTGACATTGCATTGAAGGATAACTTATTAAATAGATATTAATTAGATTATTGGGACTGCATATGTCTGAAGTAAAGTTTGGAAGTAAGAACTGCTATGATATTGTTAAGACTTAATCGGAATACCATTGAAAATATAATGAAGATTCACTAGAAAAGTATATAATCTGTTTTGCTTAAATGACATTAATCAGTGTAAAATTAAAAAAAAAAAAAAGTTTTCTTGTCACTTTCAGAAAGCCTCAAGTGAAAATGAATTAAATTCAGAACTGAGTTGTCCTTCAGAAGGTGGAGATGATGCTGATTCTGTGCAGTCTGTCAATGAGCCTATATCCTCCCCAGGGCCTGCTTTGTCTCCAAATTCACCTGATAACAGTGATTTTGTCAATCCACGTGGAATCCGATTTATGCCTCAGCAGCACATCAAAGAAGGTACAAAGAAATTATTCTTTAGTTTATCCAGTTTTATAAATTTTGAATTATAAATAGAATTTATTGCTGTAGATTGATTTTTTTTTTTTTTTTTTTTTTATTTCAGTCTAATCTGTTGACAAATCTATAACACAAATAATTAAACATGTCTTTGTTAGTTGCGTGACAATGTTGAGTTTATGGATAATTTTTTTTTCTTTTGAATAATTTTAGACTTGAAATCAAAATTATATTTATGGTACATGGTTGTTGTACGCATACCTATTTTGACAAGTACAGTAAAGTCTCTACAGCTAAAAAATAGTATTTGAATACTTCTTCCATTTTCTTGAATATCTTTTAGTCAAATACTGTTTTATTATAATAAAATTAAATAATGACCTAGAAAATCTTTTATTTGAAGTGGTGATAGGAACTGTAATGAAATTAATGATTGCCAGTTACAATAACAAATGTAAAATGCTTTCATTTCAGATTATTAATCTCATTCTTTCTGCTGCATTTGATGTTTCTATAATATTAAAGATTATCCTTTCTATAGCCTTTTCAAAAGGTGGCACATATATTCATTGGAACATGTATGTGTATAGAAAACTAAAATATTGTGGTTTATGTAAACTTTAGTTCAAACCATTTCTCTTCTGTTTTAAGAAAGGGAGAGTTTGTTTCTTTTGATATTGAGCAAAAGTTATTTTATCTTGAGAATCTAAAGAGTTTATAAGTAGTACCATTCTTCCCTATGTAGCTACAGTTAGCCCCCCATATGTGAAAGGAATGGTTGAATCAATCTGAAATGTTTGTATGCATTACATCAGAATGGTTTTTTTTTAATGGGCCATCCACATTTTACAACCTCATAATCATTTGGTCTCTTAAGATGTCAAAATATTTGCATATACCACCCATGCCTATGTGAAAATATAAGATAGAAACCAGCTAACTCTTGAAAAGTAGGAATCAAGGAATAGAAGATCAAGTGGAAAACCTTGATATGGCAAGTCATGTCAAGAGGGAGAAAAGATCATAAGGTCAACGTAGTAGCCTTCCTTATCCTTGTGGATTTTTATTTTTGCTCAACACATTATTGGAGAGCAACTCTGTACAAAATATGGAATTGACTGTATAACATCTGTTACTATGAGGTTTGTCATAATGGATTGGTTCAATTAATATATATTGCTAACAACAAGAGCAACAAAAAGAATAAGATCACTAGTTTGAATAATTCTTGAAATGTGACTTATCTGAAAATTGTAGAAAAACCTTGATATGGCAAGTCAGTGAAAAATATTTTTTCTTTATTCTGTCCTTTATATTTTTTTTTCTAGGTACTAATCCATTAATACCTTATGGTCTACCATGTGTCCGTGAACTGTTTCGGTTTTTAGTGTCCCTTATCAATCCGTTAGATCGTCACAATACAGATGTTATGATTCATATGGGACTCAGCCTTTTGACAGTGGCACTAGAATCAGGTGCTGATTCTATTCGCACATTCAAATCACTCCTTTACCTTGTTAAAGATGAAATGTGCCGCAACCTCTTCACTGTAAGTTTCAACATTGTTTTTCTTTTATTTTGTTTAGATACCAGATTTAGTTTTTATTATTTTTTATTATTTAGTAAATTAAAATATACAAACTTTATACTTGCATATAAATAAAACCTGTTTTGTTCAATGTCAAATTTCTCTACATGCACAATTGTTTATAACATTTTTAAAGTTTAATTACAAAACTCAGTTTCACATGTAGCCTCGTGTTGTACCAACATTATTCATTGGCTTGGTATAAAATTTTGGTATACTCTTGATTCAAAATATCTTTCCTTTGATATTATTTTGATATGAGGTCTTCTATTCTGGTGCTTACAGCAAATTAGTTACAGCAAATTAGGAAGAGTTTTTCGGTACATTCTTCTGTTAGCCCTTAAAAGCAGAAACCAGATTTCCTTTGGTAAAAACCTTACTTGAAATATGAGAATATCACCATTGAAGGCTCTTCTAGCAAATACACTGCAATTATTTTTCACAAAATTCTAGAAATTTATTTGGGATTTAGTCTATATACAGATGGTATATAAAGAAGAATTTGTCTGCTCAGCTTAAAGATAATTTCTAGTTATTTGAGTGTTTATTTGATAACTTGACATTGTGTTTGTTAGCATATGAAAGGCATTTGGGTTCTGTTTTCTATGATTACCACACTGCAGTACCTGAACATAATTGCTCAAGTAATATTATAATAGCAAAATCAACTTTATAATTGTTCCCAAGTTGCATTTAGAAAGTTTCATCTTAAGTACTTGCTACTACTTGGCTTTAAAGTATTACAGATTTTGCTTAGTACACAGCACATAAAATAAAAAATGAGTAAATATGATGATCGCTTAATATAAACTTAAGGATTTCAAATAATTAATTCATATATATGTTAAACAGGAGAATAGTTTATCATCACACTGGAATTAAACTTTGGATAATTCTAATTTTTTTCTCTACTTTTTGTTACAGTTGTTGCAGTCTGAACGATTGTCTTTGTTCACAGCCACCATTAGAACTTGTTTTTTGCTCTTTGAGTCCATGCGCAGTCATCTAAAATTTCAGCTTGAGGTAAGTAACCTCATATTGTACTCTATTTTTATTTTCTTTTATTTCTGTTGGCTTTTTAGTTTAAAGATTTGCTTAAATTCAAATATTTCTTAATATGAATTTGGACTTTTATTGCATTATTCTAAGATTAGTAAAATGTAAAGGATTGTCTTTTTTTATATAAATTTTGAATAATTTGATACAGGTTTTTGTATTTTAATTTCTGTGATTGGTAGTAAAATTTCACTGACATATGTAACTGACAATAATAATCCATTTTTTTCCTTTCATAGCAAGGTGAAAAAAAATAATTCAAAATGGTAGATATTTGATGCTGATGACTACAAGTTTGTTTTTGTTTTTTAAATTTATTATTCTAGTAACATCTTATTATAATTGTGTGTGCACCTTATGTCCTTAGCATGTATGTTATGCTCTGCCAATACCTCTTAAATAATGGACTATTTAGTTTTGATCAAAAGAAAAGCCAGAAAAAACATCAGAGATGTTTGGTTTCAGTGAGATAAACAAAGAAGGGATGATAGAAGAGTCAATAATATTTTTAACATCTGTTTCAGTGAAATGGAAAAAGTTCTCAATTTCAAATCTTTTTTATGCCCTGCAAATACCTCATAAATAATGGACTATTCCATTTTGATTTTGTAGAAAGATAGAAAAGACATATCAGAGATGCCAATTTGTTTCAGTGAGAAAATGAAAAAAAAATAAGAAGGGAAGATAGAAGAGGCTCATGTTTACTGTTTCAGTGAAATGGAAAAAGTTATCTATCTTTTCATTTTTGCTCCCTTACTTCTTTAAATAATGACCAGCATTCATAATTATGATTGTTATTGCAATATTTTGTTAAAAGTTTTAAGCTCAAATCTTTAACAGTGCAATAGGGAAATTTCTATAGATGTTTTATTGCTGTAGAATTCGTCATGAACTTATTCAATTAGTAACTTAAGAATTCATCAGAAAATTCAAATAGGAAAACTGTGAAATTTTCATAGGTGTTTCTAGTAAATTACATTTCTTATTATTTTATAAGTAATTGTGATTTATTATTATAAACTTATGATGATTTTTTTCTGCAAATTAAAAATTTATTTTCCTTTCATTAGATGTATTTGACCAAATTAAGTGACATTATTGTGTCAGAAGCTCCAAGAATTTCTTATGAGATGCGGGAAATTGCTCTAGAAGCTGTGGTACACTTGTGGCGTATTCCTGGATTGGTTACAGAACTTTTTCTTAATTATGACTGTGATCTCTATTGTTCAAATCTATTTGAAGACCTGACAAAACTTTTATCAAAGGTAAGTAGATGTCTAGCAGATTATTCTTTGCTTCTATCCTGTTGGACTTCTTACTCTGTAAAAAAAAAAAACTGATTTGAGATTCAAAGATTTTTTCAACATGGTCCTTCAAAATAATATCAAATATTGTTTGGACAATTGAACCTCTTCTTGATGTTGTCAACATTTTGGTAGATTCATTCTTCAGCACTCATCGCTTTACAATCCTTTTGAAAAGATAGAAGAAAATGTAGTCAGAAAAAAAGGTAGGTACATACATCACAAGCTGATATATGCATTCTTACTGAAAAGGATTGATCTGGTTGCTATGTTGATTTCCCTTTCTCACTTCACCATTTTTCTAATTGTTACAAAAATGATTTTCTCTTTTTACAAAGATTGTACACCTGGCAAGAACTTAAGTAGTGCCAATAGCATCAAGTATGAATAGAAGTTGTTAAATTATGAAAACCAAATTTATAAATTAATGAACCTGTGAATACAATTGTGTATAAATTGTAGTTATGTATTCAGTAATTTACAAATTAACAGTAGATTGAAATTTTAGAAAACACATATGTATTTTGCCCATGATAAGTAGAATGTACATAAATAAAAAAAAAATATGAATAAAATGAAAAAGACATTTATACAAGAAGTTGCTTTAGCAAATGTGAAACTGGATCATATTGTTATTATCACATTTCCTATTTTTCTATTTCCAGAATGCATTTCCTGTTTCTGGACTGTTTACCACTCATCTCCTTTCCCTAGATGCTCTTTTGACTGTAGTGGACACCATTGAGCAGCATTGTCACAGTCGTATCTTGTCATCTACCAAAGCAGCAGCTGCTGCAGCTGCTGCTGCTGCTGCTGCTACCACCACCATCAATGGTGATGTTTCTGATTCCACACAACAGCAAAAGATTTCAACTGATACAGGTGTAGATATTGTTCATTTCACTTGAGAAATGAAATGATTTGCTAATTTTTTTAGTGTTATTTTTGTGAAGTTTGCTCATCCAGGGCTGATATATATTGGCTAAAATATCTTCAGTTTTTATTTATTTATAGAATCAATAGAAATTAGTTTGAGAATTAAAAAAAAATCTTTAACTAGGTATTCCAACTGCAAAAATGTGTCAAAATATTGAAAATTCCTTCCATATTAACTGCTGATATCTTGTTTATTTTTTAGGCTATTTTGATAGGATTGATATGTAAACAAAATTTCTAAAGTTATAATTCTTTCTCATGTATGATTAGTTTTTATTCCAGGTTTCTTTAAATTGTCTCTATTTCAATGACGGACCATGCTTTTTCCTCATTTTCAATATCATAGTGATGTTTTTCAAGTTTATTACACTTCATATTGTATCTCCATAGAAAAAAATTAAAGAATAAAAATGATACTCATCAATTTGGAGGGCTAACCATAAGATTTGAACTTATCTTTCACAAAAAGTTTCTAAGTTGAAAACTTTAGTGGATGAAATATCATAGGAATTCAACATCTAAAAAAAAAAATGAAAATGTCTCATCTTTAATGATTAGTTGGTTTCATGTTACTGCCCTACTGATACAACCCAACAGAGAATATACTCTATTCATTTCGTAAAAACCATTGGTTCTAACATGTCAAAATTTGAATTGCTGAATTTGAATTTGTATTGCAAATGAATTAACATTTTAGATTAGACTTGTTTCATTAATGGATATCACTGTTTAAATCATTTTCTTATATTTTCTTTAATGATGCATTTTAAAACTATAAAGTACTTATTGATGTATTTTGTCCAAACTGTCATGCTTGAATCACTTTTGCCTTGGTTGTTGTTTTTATGCATTTTCTTAAAAAAATCATAAAACAGAATTCAAGAAGGAAATTACTTCAAATGACTTTCAGTTACAAGCACAAAGGCCAATTGGTTGCACTTATGCAATTACTCCAACTTTTACATTGACCAAGTCATAGACATTATATATCCGTCTAGTGCTGTAATCAATATTTTAGTTCCAATCAAAGGCAGAAATGATTATTTTTGGTGGCCTTTGTAGGATGATATTGCACAAGCAGTGTCAAAATTTGTCTTTAGTTGGGATTTTGATATAATACCATTTTCAAGTGATAATAGGATATGAAGTGTTCTAGGAATATTGTCTATTGCAGAGGCTTATAAACAAATTCTGATTGCAAATCACCCTTAGAAATGCAGGAGGACCATTCCAACTGTTGAGAAAGTCTTTTTCATCAATTCCAGTTAATGCATTTTTATTCATTTCAGTGTTTTTAGTTTGAAGATAAATTAATTTAAAGCTTTACATTAAGCATTTGTTTGAAGCATTGACCAATGATTTATTTCAAGAAACAAATGTCTAAGTTTTGTAGTCATTACTGTTCCTTTCTGACAAGTTAAAAATTGCAGAATTTAACACAATTTTCCCAAATTAGATCCATGTTGAGAAAAGGTGCTCATATTACAGAGAAAAGAACTGTTTTGTTGAATTCCACATTCCAAAATTAGAAAGGTTTCTAGCATGTACCTTCAATGGATACTATTTTATGGCAAGTTCAGGATGGTGTACATTTCACCAGCTTTTGCCCTACTCTCAAATTACACTTCTGGCAGTTTTCACATGATGTAAATATCAGGTTTTTTTTTTTTTTATTGGTGTACTACTGAAAATCATAGCAAGAAGTGGCAAGGCATTAACTTTTGAGATGAAAATTATAAGCAGTCAAAATAGCCTTTCTGTGTCCTGTTTTAACTATTTTGCTTTTAAGAATACAATTTTTCCCAATGTTTAGCTGGTCTGATCTAATAATTATTGATTCCATTAGTATTAATTCAAATTACCTATATGACATTACATTTATAATGATTTTTAACTAGTCTGATGCTTGAATCTTCAGTTCTACACTGATGAAATTGGCTTCTGATCATATGAGACAGAAAATTGACAAACTTTGAGTGGTCATAACTTTGTTGCTAACTGAGCTACTAATGATAAATTTGGTACTGTTTTTTAAAAACCGTTTTTAAGGTTTTTAAATATATTGAAAATAAAATTTTACTTTGGGATACCTACTTTAACATTTTTTTAACTACACTGTCAATTTTGTTTTATATACAAATGAGTTTTTGCATCACATTACATAACCTTTAGGTTAAACCAATTCTTGCTTTCAGGAGCTATCTATTGCTATAGGTTGTTAAAAGAAAACCTTTGTAAATGACAAGATTTTTTTTTTTAATCATGTCATGCCAAGCAAGGCAATAAAGCCACTAAAATGCAAGGTATTAAAAGATAGCCACTTAATGATATTTCTTGGACTGGCATGTTTGTATCTGTGTAAAATTTATATAGTGTGATTTTGAAATCCTTTCTAATCTTTTTATTGTATAAAAACTTTTATTCAGCCAAATGTGATACAACCTCTGATACAGAGACACCTACTCCAATACCAGATACAATCAGTTTGCCCATTGTAGTTGATCATCCCCCGACTTCTGGCTATGATGTCGGGCAAAGGATGCTGCAGTCAAAAGATATTCCGACTGGTAAGTGCAAATTTGCTTTTTCCTTTTAACTGTACAGGCACGTATATAAAATGTCTGTATGAATCTTTGCAGGTATAATTCCTGTTAATAATAATGTTTATTGCATGTACCTGTGTTCGTATTCTGAGATATCTTGTTTAATTTTTTCACGTAACCCATGTATTTCAATTTTTTTTTTTTGAGTGGATTTACCCCCTCCCACCAAAAAATCTAGCAAATTTAAAATGGAGCCTTTCGAGACTAAAATATAATGAATTATTGATATTTAATATCATGTATAATAATAACTTCTTATATTTGCATATAATTTTGGAGAATATGAAGTAAATTTGACTTTATTAAATTAAATCTTTTTTTTTTTTTTTAACTCCTTGAGTAGACTTTGGATATAAGACTTGCATAATATTAGATTGAGATCTGAAATATCTTAAAAAAAATAATTATAATCCTTTTGAGGAAGGGAAGGTAAACTCTTACTATGTTTATTGCTTTTTCTTTTAACAAATACATTTTAAGATAATCTAATTGATTAAATCCAGGAGATTGTTTTTGAAACAATATTTTTTTTAAATTCTGTTATATAGATCCAACATGGCCTCGCAAATCAAGCAGAGAGACACGCAAAGGGCCACAAATTCGGCCCAACAGGATGAAGATCACAGAAAAGGTTCCCACTGCAGAGGAATTGGCCATACTGAAACATAAAAAGAAAGTAAGACTTTCAGCATTTATTCCTCTCAAAATACACACACACACTTACATTTTCTTAATTTAATTTTTATTTATATTTTCAGATATATTCTGTTTTTGGTGATATTTTCACTAGGCTGATTTTTAAATAAGTTAAAAACTGCATTGCATTTTTAGTTACTTCTTTTGTACATCTTTGATAGAAAATTCCCCAAGAGTCAATTTTAAGTTTGAATTTTTAATAAAATTACAAGGAAAAAAAAAAAAAGCATATTAATATTTTATAAAGTATTATTATCTCAAACTTAATATGAATCTATACATATTATTTATATAATATATATATATATATATATATATATATATATATATATATATATATATATATATATATTTGTTTAATATTTGTTTAAAAAAATTGTTGTTATTATACATAATCTATTTAGATTAGTATCTGTGTCTTGGTTGTTATCAGCTTGTTCTTTTTTTAACAGATGTATCAGAGTGGAACAGAACAGTTTAATGTGAAACCTTCTAAAGGAATCCAGTTCCTCCAAGAGCAAGGTCTACTTAGCACCCCTGTTGACCCAGGAGAAGTGGTCACTTTCTTGAAAGAAAATCCTAAATTAGAAAAACGACAAATTGGAGAATATATCAGCAACAAGAAAAATTCAAAAATATTTGAAACCTTTGTAAAGTATGTTGTTACAAAATAACCACTTATTCAGTTTGTTATATAATTGTTTCATTGGTAGAATTATTTTCAGTTAGCATTAGATAAAGCTATAAATTATATTGGTATTTCATTGATTTAGCAAGCTCCAAACTACATGCTGGTTTCCTCAAATAAGCACCTACAGTACTTATTTAGAAATTAAACCTTTTGGAGGTAGACTTATTGAAAAATCACACAATTGGGACAGTTATTTATAACTTGCTATGGTTCTATTTATCCTTTATAAATTATAAAAATAATACTTTTTCAAATAAGAGTGGATAAACATTTTTCACTGAGGGATATGAGCCCTTCAAAATTATTTGATGATTCCTAAACATTTGCAACATATGCACACACACACACTCTGTCATGGGACAATTAAACAATAGCTTTTAGACTGGAAAGAAAAGATTACAGGAGCAGTTTAAAAAAAATACAATATATATCAATGAAAAATAAGATTAATATCAATGAAAATAGACAAAACTGAAATGAAAATGTTTCTATTTAATAGCAGTAAATATAACCTTTTTCTTTTATTCTTTAAATAGTCTGACCAGAATGAAACTATTTTTTTTATTTGTACCACCCACACAATCAATATAAGCAAATCTTATACACATTTGCAAGTGAAGACTTACTTGAAATTAAAAACAGATTTTCCTAATTATATATGTATATATATGTATGTATGTATGTATGTATGTGTTTATTTAACAATTACTTCTTGATTTGGGGCAGGGGGAGATGGCTATTTGAGAAAATACAGTAACCTGATAATAATTGATGAACACTGGTTTGATTAAATTATTCCAAAAATTCTAATTCCATAGTCATAAATATTTTAAGCACAAAATGCACTTGTAATCCTAAATTCTTCTGGATGTGTTTTATATGAATTTATTATAGAGAACATGTTCTGTTTAACCCACAGTAATCAAAGACACTGAAGTTATTCACAAAATCTAATAGTTTTACCTATTTTAACATTTATTTGTGTTTAATCTATATTTATGTAAATGTGTTGCTCAATGTTATTCAAATTTTCTTTTATATTTTTTGCCCATTTTTTTTTTTTTTTTTTTTTTTTTTTTAATTTTATAATTTATCCAGGAATTAATCTTACTGTTTTGTTAGGTCCTTTAATTTCAATGATACTCGCCTTGATGAGGCTTTGCGACTTTATTTGGAAACATTCCGCTTGCCCGGAGAAGCTCCTGTCATTTCATACATTATTGAGATGTTTGCTGAACACTGGCATGTATGTATTTCTGTTGCAATATAATATTTGGCTGTCAGTGTTTAATGTCTTTATTTCATTTTTATGATAATTTTAGGTTTTTGATAAAAACCTGTTTCTATCATTTAGCCAACTAGAGCAGGAAAAAATGCTCTCTTACATTCTGTGATTTACTTGACATGACGAATAATATCATACTATTTTGATCTTGCATTTTATGCTATGAACTCAATAGTTCATAGCATAAATATTGTATTTTATATGTAAATATGATTGTAATCACATTTTATGTGTAAATTGGATTGTTATCAGATATTTAAAAAAATCTTACTTTTGAAAAACATTCAAACATCAGAAAAATGTTATCCTTCCCAGAATGATGGCTTTGTATTATTTATGAGCTTAAAAATATGTGTCTCATGTATAAGATTCAATTTATCACTGTTGAGAGAGAGAGAGGTCTTGCAAAAATCTCTTACACTATTTTTTTTAATCATAGACTCTGTACTTGATACTTTTGTTATGACATCTTTCATATATGGCCTTTAAATTATATTTACTAATATTTTTATTTATCCCTTTAGAAAACCAATGGTGAGCCATTTATTAATGCTGATGCTGCCTTTACCTTGGCCTATGCTGTAATTATGCTAAATGTAGATCAACACAACTACAATGTTAAAAAGCAAAATACACCCATGACGGTTGATGTAAGTATATCAATATTTTTATGTTGCTCTTTGTTCATCGGAAGCTGTAATATGTTAACTGAATATTCATTTTAAAATGGCTTCACAGCTTATGTTAAGTTGTTTATAATTATGTATTATGTATTTTTGGAAGTGTATGCTTGCTGTTATATTTTAAAATTATACTAAACAAGATCCTTCAAGCTTTTGAAATATTTTACTTATAGTTTTACTTATTTATTTATAGTTCATAGTTATTGCATTAAAATTTAAAATATCGCATTACTAATATGATATTAGTAAAAAATTACTTTTTAAAGAAATGCTAATATTTTAGAAGTATTTTATTATAAAAACTTTATCGTCCTCATTATGTTTTGGATTTGTTTGTTTTTTATGTATAATGTTAGCTATTTTGTGATCTTAAGATGAAAAAAATCCTTTGAAAAGTACCAACTATAAAATGCCTAAGATAAAAATTACCAAATGGAAAATAAGATTCTGGCAAGGGATCAACTATTTTACCAAGCAAAAAATTGTTACATACATTACAATATGACTAGACTATTTTAGTAAAAATTTTACTAGACACACGCAATCACCAACAATTCCTCCTATTCTTACTAATTTTATTATTGTCTACTATTTTAAAATAGATTTATAAACCAAAACAGATTTATAAACTTATAAATTATTGGTAATTTTGGATTAAATTATCTCCTTTCCTGCTTATTCCTCTTTGCAAGACTTCTGTGAATAAGCATACAATGATTTCAATAAGTACATTGAATATCAATTGCAATATTTTTTTAGTCTTAACTATAAAAAAACTTAAAAAATGCAATTTACAAATGTTATCAAATATCAAAAAGTTAAAATGTTTGCAATAAAACATTTGTCAGTTTAGCATCAAATAAAAACTGCTTTTGTATATTTGTGTTGGACATTGGCAGCTTTAGTGAAGAATATTGAAAAATGGGTAGATAGAAGGGAAACCTGATTGTGTAATAATGGAATAAATCATAATTCATTTTGATATCTTTATACATTGATATATTTCTAAGCTCTGTTTAATTTTAATGAAAAGATTTTTGTAATTGGCATAAATAGAATTTACATAGCATAAAATTATATTACAATATACATGTACCTATTTGTCAGAATAAAATAAAATTTAATTAAAGTTTGTAATATTATTTAATATGATTTTGAATAATAAATTGCATACTTCAGTTTTATTGTCCAGTTTCTTTTCGGAACTTCCTTTGTAGGAATTTAAGAAAAATGTTTCCAAAACAAATGGTGGTAAAGATTTTGATGAGGACATGTTAGAAGATGTCTACAATGCTATCAGGTTAGTAGTTGTTTTTTTTCTTCCTGTTTTATATCATTGTATTTTGAGAAAATAGATGTGGGTGGAGTTAATAAGTATACATCTATTTTCTTTGCAGGTGTTTGCTTAATTGTCCACCATCTCATTGTCATTAATTTTGTTGGTAATTCAAATGATTTGCCTGACACAGTTATTAACTAAATTTGGATCTGGAACTTTTACTTCATACTATTTAATTTAAGTGATTAATATTTACTGTTAAATTAAGTGCATTAACAAGAAAGTATATTATATTGGAAAAATATTTGTGTAAAATGTACTTTTTATAATTAGGTTGTGGAATTATAAATATACCTATTTACATATATATTGAATTGTCATAGATTTTTCTTTACTATCTTATAAGTAATAAATTATCAAGCTTATTTAATAATTCTTTCATTTTTTGCATTTTGCTTTATAGAAATGATGAAATTGTTATGCCAGCTGAACATACAGGATTAGTTAAAGAAAACTACATGTGGAAGGTAAGACATTTTAAATTTATTAAGACAGAATGAGAAATCATTATTTATCCACAAGAATGTATCAAGTTTGTTGGCATTTCTTCATTCCCTGTCTATTGCAATTAATCTTGATCCCTTAGCTCTACAATTTAAACCTTTGCCATTTGACCTCCAGTCCATAATACCAGCATACTGTAATATTTTGATACATTTTAGTGAAAAAATGTATTTTATATTCTCACAATTTTATTTGTTTCTTTAATTTTTTTTTTATTTTTCACTTCTGAATGTCCATACATTTTTTTTTTTTTTCTCTATTACAGGTTTTATTAAAAAGAGGTAGTGGTAAAGAAGGAAATTTTATTCATGCTCCAACTGGTTCATTTGATCATGATTTGTTCACACTTGCCTGGGGACCAACTGTAGCTGCGTTATCATTTGTCTTTGATAAAAGCTCTGATGATGGAATCATCCAGAAGGCAATCTCCGGTTTCAGGTAAGTAATGTATATATCTAAAATATTGTTTTTCTCAGTTATTTTAACTTTCCAGGCATGTTACATTGTATAGTACAAGGAAGGTAATCCAAGTTAGGTTTATATTATTAACGTCTTCTGCAAGTGAAGCACTCAAATACCTAATGCTCAAAATAAACAGGCAGAGCTTTTAGTATTAAGAAGTATCCTTTATGGATACTTCTTAATACTAAAAGCTCTGCCTGTTAGGATGTAGACGAGAATATACTTACTTGTTTTTGAAAATCGGCAGAAAACCATATTACACAAATGTGCAAAGTACATACAATCTGGATTCTGTTATCGCATGCCTAAAATTTTGAAATTTAAATTGTTTTTACTTTTTACCATTTGCTCACAAGAAGGACAATTATACAATATCTGGTTTATTAAATTGCTTCTTTCATTTTCTGTGTGAGTGTGTGTGTAGACACATGCAAGTGTCTCTTATCTATATAATGTATTGATCTGTCTACACCTATATATATATATATATATATATATATATATATATATATATATATATATATATATATATGAATGAGAGACACGTGTGCATGCACACACACAGTTCCCAGTATTCTTTTTTGAAAACTTGTTTTTCACTGGGAACTTCTTCACACATCTAATGCATAATCCATTTATTATTATTATTACTATCTTCAAGATTGTATTTTTATTTTTCAGGAAATGTGCAATGATCTCTGCTCACTATGGGATGAGTGATGTATTTGATAACCTTGTTATCTCTTTATGTAAATTCACTACATTGCTCAGTTCTGCAGATGTAAGATATTATTATACTCATTTTCTTTATTTTCTATGCATAACAGTAAACCTTATATTTCTCTTTGACTATTATTGAAATTTGTTTATTGTATCTTATTTTTAAAGTAGTAAATCTTGGTCTTTTTTCTATCTTTTTTTAATACAGTTACTTCAGCCAAAACAAGGTTCAAGGGCCACTAACAGTAAAGGATTATTTAGCAAGATTCTATAAGGGAGGGAGATGAAGAGAGTAAGAAAGATTATGAGGACATGGAGGATAGATATTGGCTGTCTCTGTAGTTGAAGAAACCAAGATTGGGGAAGAAGTTGTTTGAGTGAAACTTACTCCTTATCAAAGGAACACAAAGGAAATGGGGATGATTTGTCACCATGGCATAGTCGGGGGAGGGGTCCCTAGCTATGAAGGTATGAGCTAGTGGAACTAAGGAAGTAGTGTGAACATTTTGTCTATGGGATAAGAGTTGCAGGGTGGCAAATAATTCATCACCCACAAAACCCTGTAATCACATTTGAACTGCCAAGGCTGGAGAGTGAGGATTTAGCAGCACCAGCCCAGATATGGCAGCAATACTTCATTCTTGGTCTGATCTGACCCTTGGAAAGATAGAGCAGGGCAGCTGAAGTTTACAGTTTACCTCTGTTGAGTATAGTTTGCGACTTATCAGAACTGGCAGTATGCAAGTTCTTTGTTTTTCTACTTTAGTTTAGATTGCCTGTGCTTAGCTGCTTTTTCCAGGACTCTTTTGCAGTGATTACACACAGTTATAAATGAGGCAAGGGTTCTGTTACACTATTGCCTCTGATAGAAATGATAGTAGTGCTCATGGTGGGCCAAGGCCACAGCACATTCAAGCATGAACCAGGGGCTGGCTATTTGTTTTTTGCTGGTATTTTTGTGAGGGATAATGCTTTCACTGGCAGAGAGAATCTACTCAGGAGTAAGGTAGGCTGTCCTGAAAGGTCTGTTTTTGAAGAGCGCTGAGAGAGGAGCTTCTATAATGTAGGATCTGAAGCTATCCCAGTCAACTTTGGTGTATCCTATAAAACTGCACAACTGATGAGGTCTTTAGTTTTGCATCAACCTTTACATAGATAAAAGAATGTTTTAATTTGACAATAGTAAAACTCTGCTATAATTTGACATTAATAAACTAATGTTCTCTCAGTGAGGCACTGTGCCTTGAGAAATTATTGTGCCTTAAACTCACCCTTGACTTCAAGTAGAACTTGGACATATGATCCATTGCTAAAGATGCAGGTAAAATGGTCAGCTCCTTTTACCACTCTAGCAAGTACCTGACTCTTCATGCTATCCTTTACCTTTACAAGAGCCAGATCAGGCTGAAAATGAAGTGCTGTTGCCATATTTAGGTGGGAGCTGCCCAGTCCTCACTTTCCAGTCTCGATAGACTTCAAAAGTGTCTCTGAGTCCATGTGAATGACAAATTATTTTCCAACCTCTCTCTCACATGCGGAATGTAACAAGCATCTCACTACTCTATTGCTACTTCCATGGAAATTACTTGGACGAACTACATTCCTTGCTTCCACCAGTTCTAATCTTCATGGCTAGGACCTGCCATGCCACTTACATTGTAGCAAATCACCCACATTCCCCCTGTATTCCATTGGTAAGAAGTAAGTTTCACTTGAACAGATTCTTCCTGCAAACCACTTCTCTGTTGAACTGACTCCACGGAGGATGTTTCCCTGATCACTACAGTCTTACCCTGTTCAAGCCTAGGTTATCTTCCCCCTCCTATCCATATAAACTGCCTCATAACTTAACCTTCTACCTTGAGTGGCCCCCGGGCCTTGTAAAAAGTGAACTTTACTGTAAAAAACAAAAAACCTTTGTCATAAAAGGTTTTCTCCTAATTATTTGCTTATGACAGACTTTTGTCAAAAATTTAGAGATTTGACTCCTGACTAGTGTTTTAATTTGTTATTTATTTATTTTTCTTTTTGTGTCTTTGGGACACATTATTAAACATTCCAGTGACATTATCATTATGTAAGTAAAATATTGTATTGTAGGGAAATTTAAATATGCCAATTGGTTATAACTTTCCTACTTGAATTCTGAGGAAAGAGGTTTAATAGAGGCTATCCACATTGATTTTCACTAAATACATTTCATAGGTTAAGACATAATCTGCTAATCTGGTAGAAAAAAAAACAAAAAAACTTTTACTGATAAAATTTTAATTAGGGTATGAAATATAAAAGATTCATATTGTTTGTGGTAGAGAGAGTTGTCTTATACTATTATCTATTTTTGTATGAATTTTAAAATTTTTGAACTTTTATCTGGAAAATTTGTTATAGGTAAGATTTGTAGCAGTTTTTTATTGAATGTAATGAATTTATGAAAACTAATTTAGAAATTGTACTTTTTTTCCCATTTTTGAGAAATATTACCTCATTAAAAAATTTCAGGTTTTATAAGTCCAGTTACAAGAAGCTATAAGTATTAGTTTGATACAAAATTTTGCTGAATTTTTTTAACAAAATCTTTTATTCATATAAATTTATAGCACCATTATTTAGTCATCAAAGTTTTTGACCCAGTGCTTCTATAACCTTACACCATCTTTAAGCTCAGTTTTGTCTTGCATCATTCTAATTTTGCTTTGATGCATTTTTCCTTAAGAAATTGAATTTTCCTTAAAATTTGTAAATGATTTACTAGAGTTGACATGCTATTTGTATTGCATCTTCCTTCATTTTTTTTCCAATATGTCAGTTTTCAACTTCTAAGGTCATCCAGGACATTCACTTTCCATGAACTCAAAATCTCTTTTTTTTTTTTTTTTTTTTTTTAAGCTTTATAAAACCATTCCCAGCACATGCACCCCATTAGCACAAACTTTCATGATCCATTGCATTAAATGTCAAGTATGCAATTCCCTTGTGATTTTCACCAAAATTAATTACATTTTTCTGCTGATGTTTAAAGGATACATAAGTAATAAAAAGCTCAGTAAAATTCAGACACTTGTAAAATTTGTCTAATTTTATGCCAAAAAATGTGCTGGGAATTTTTGCTTCAATCTAATAAATATCACAGTTAAAAAAGGATTTAATAGTTATTAAAAAAATATTCAGATGAACATTAGGGTAAGTTGAATTTTTACTTTTTGTTTTTTTAGAAAATCAACTTTGCATTTGATGTGAAAGCTGAGGTTTGATGTGCAAAGTACTGACATCCACAATTAGATTCATAGCTTTTACCAATTTTTGAGCATTTAGTTTAAAAGATCGTTTGAAAATATACAGAAATACCTAATTTCCACAGGTTTTTGTTTACAAACTGACTTCAAAATTTTACTATTTCAAGAATAAATCCAAATAAAGCTGATATTTTTTGTATTAGATACATTGAATGGAAAATATATTCAAACCACAATTCTAATTATGAATCACCACAAGCAAAATATGCAATGTTCTACAGTATTCAATAAGTAAAAACTGTAAAATAAATTGTAAAATATTTCAGAAAAGGCTACTCGTTGAATAAAATTTGTTAGATCATAATTAATAAAAACAAAAAGATAGATAAAAGTGTATATAATGCCATAATACTGCTGGACAAAAATTGTAAGACAAAATGGTTAAAATTGAAAATCTCCCTAAAACTACTGCACTGTATACTATATTATATATTATAGCTAAATTGTTCAGTATAATTTCTTTTTGAAGTAAATAAGGGTCTTAATTGATGGTACAATGATTTAGTAATGGTGTGTGTACCTTGTATCTTGTCCATATACAATTTGTAAAGCTTCAGTAAATTATAAATTTTATAAGGCTGTGGTATAAGGCTTTTACTGATCACCAGAATGAAATTTCAACCTCTAAAATTTTGAATCTGTAATGGGATTGGTTAAAGAGAGCTATAACTATAGCTCACGGGCATCTTTGAGTCAGTGTATGTAAAACATCTACGGCAACTACTGATCATCATAACAAAATGTCACTTGACAGAGCTCTGTTGAACACAGAAGTATCTGAAAATATAAAAGTTTGAGGCATGTACCAGAATAAAGAAACATGATACCACATGTAGACCCATTATCCTGGCTACAATTTGAAAAGGGACAAAATGAAAAAAACATAAAAAAAAAATCCTTGAGGATGAATTTTTGCATTGGGTGGAAACAGATGTTTTGCCCATGAATATACGAGTTATGGAGATGTTACAAGATCCAGTCTTAAGTTGAATTTTATCTAGAATAAGGAACAATAAATGGAGTAGATATTTACTCAGCCCCCCACGAGGTCAGGTTGTGACACAAGGTCGGTTTAACGTGGGGAGCCCGAGTCCGTACACCCAGGCAAGGAACAAAAATTCCCCTCAGCCCCTGCAACCATCTGGTGCAATGGGAGGGCGCGGCCTCGGGCAGCTGTTCCCCAGGGCTGGGCACCTCTTCAGTATAATTTTCCTCAGTTGCGACTCTCTCCTTTGATGGAGTCGCCCCTGAGCGCACTCTGCCCAAAGACAGAGAGGCAACTGAGAGATGATAAGTAGATGTGTACCTACTCAAAAAGAGTAATATTTCAAAAGAAGAAAAACTATTCAAAGAAAACAGACCCAAACTATCAATAGAAAATGGTATAATTTGTAGTGGGGATTTAGTCGTACCACTGGAAAAATGTAGAAAAGAAGTAATTAAAAGTATGCATGATGATGTGCATTGTGGGATAACCGCTACACAAAAACTGTTAAAACTGAAAGCGTGGTGGCCAAGACACACCCATGACATGGAAAATTATGTTTGTAAATGTCCTAGATGTGCTGAAATAAAGAATTTTTGCCACAATATGTTACACTCTTGGGCTAAGGAAGCAGAACCATGATCTAGAGTTCATATGAATCATGCACATGTTAACAGGGTTTATGTCTAATACTGGTTGATGCTTTTTCTGCCTGGCCTGAAGTCTTCTGAGTTCAGGATAAAAAATCTATTAAACAATACAAAAACAAATATTACACATAATATTTGCTAGAAATAGAGTACCAAAAACATTAGTAATTGATAATACTCCTGAATTCTGTGATGAAAGTCTCTGCCTGTGGTTAAGGAAGATTGGCTATCCCATATAAAACACCTTCAATCAAATGGGATTGCTGAATGAGTGGTCCAAACAATAAAGATGGGATCAAAAGCATTTTCTTTTCAGCAAGAAAAGATTGAAACTTTCCTACCAAGATTATTGTTGAGTTACAGAACAATACCACATGCTGACAGATTAGAGAGCACGTCTGCATTAATGGGCAGATAGATTAGAGCTCCATTAACCATGTCTTACTCCATTAATGAAAACATATGGTAGAAAAGAAATAAAGAAAATGAGCTGGAAAAGGTATAATTTCATAATGCAAAAAGGATACATGGCATTAATATGGAAGAATGGTAAAATTATTTTCCGTACAGACCAGTTAAGAGCCAGCCAAAATTATGAGGAAGTAAAAAACGAAGCTAGTTCGAATGATTCTGTAGATGAAAAAGGAAAAAGGGCAGAGATGATCAAAGTTCTTCAGAAGACTCTGAGTACAAAACATGGGACACTGAGAATAAAAGAACTAGATCAAGGTCCCTCATAACAAGAAATACTCATGAAACCAGTGAGAGGGGGAGAAAATGTAAGAGAAGCTGTAGATCCATGTAGGGCGTGAAACCCAAAAGATTCAGGGTGATGTAATGGGATTGGTTTAGCTAATAGGTAATTAGCACAAAGAGAGCTATAACTATAGCTCTTTGGCAGCTTTGAGACAGTGTACATAGAATATCTATGGTTACTCTGTTTAATCATCAAACTTAAACTTTAAACTTGTTTCTTCAAAAAACTGTAATGATTTGTAAACAAATATTTTGTGTCGTTATTTATCATGTCAAACTCCAACTTTCAAATTGTGTGCCATATCCGGTTCCAAAACTGACCTTCCCTAATGAATATGTGGAGTTTATTGGAATTAATTCACAATATAATTATATATATATATATATATATATATATATATATATATATATATATATATATATATATATTTTTTACACTTTAGGCTATAATTTCTTAATGAGTGTAAAAGTTGAGATTTTCACTGATTAAAAAAAATTAGCTGTAATTTAATTTTTTTTTTTTTTTTTTAATATTAAGAATTCTTTGTCTTTTAAGATATTAATATTTTAATATGAATTTTTAGGCTCCTGAAAACATCCCAGTTTCCTTTGGTAGCAATCCCAAAGCTCAGCTTGCTGCTCGTACTGTATTTGGATTGGCTCATAGGCATGGTGATATTTTAAGAGAAGGTTGGAAAAACATCCTTGACTGTCTCTTACAGCTTTACAGAGCCAAGCTTGTTCCAAAAAGTTTGATTGAAGTATGTATAACTTTATCCTTGATGCTGTTTTGTGTTGAAAAAATGTATATAGATACAATTAGGAGAATATTTGTATTTGAAGCATAAAATTTCACCATCCTGTTAATATGCAGCATTTACATATTACCCTTAAAGTACATTGTTATAATGTTAGCAATATATTCACTGTTGTTGACATTAAGGCAGATAAATTTTTTATTAAGTAAGTACAGTAGTGGTAGATATATTCCAAGACTCACTTCCAACTCCACTCACTAAGAATTATATTTAACTTACCTGACAAACTTAATTGTAAAAATAAAAACAACAAAAACATCTAAAACTTGTTTTAAAATTTTTATTATTGTTGAGGCTTTTCTTCTCAGGATTTGATGATAGCTTTGAGGACATTGAAATTTATTGTTATAATTAAAAACTTTGTCTGTCTGTCTTGTACAAAAAACGCACACACATGTTGCTTTGAAGTATATATTTTCAGGATGGTTTTATTTTAATAAAAATTTTGAACATTAAATTTTTGCTGATTTGGCCAACTGTGGATGAAGTGAAATGGTAGTTGTTGATTCCACAGATAGTGAAATCCTGCTGTAATCTAACAAAAAAATAAAAAGTGAAAAAGGTGGGGAAATCTTTTATGTTAAAATTCTTGAGCAAAATCATGCTCCATGCTGGACTTGATATCATCTTTTATATTGCATATATTCATGCTTAGTTAAGAATCAGAGAGGTAGAACCTCTTTAAGATATTTGTGAGGTGTATAGAAATGGCTGCTCCTGTTATTTAAGTAATAGTTGACCTAGGTTGTTAATTATTTCATATTATGAAATAATTATCAACCTAGTACAACATGAATATTTTTAAAAATTTAATTTATATTATTTCTACCTTTTACTATAACAGGTGGAAGACTTTGCAGATGCAATGGGCAAGATTTCTATTATGAAGGAGGAGACAACCTCCACTAGCAGGTATGGTCAATGATTCTCTCACAATGACTTTTTGCCAGTTTTATTACAATTGGATAAATAAAAAATGTAATTATTTTCCATCATGATTCGTTCACAGATATATAGTTCATAAAATTATTTTGTAAAAAAAAAAAAAACTTTTCTTGCAATAATTTTTGGATTGATGTTATTTAAGAAATAAATAAGCCAGAATTTAAATTCAACTTTATTTAGCTTAAGTACCTGTTAAGTGACAAAGCTTTTTTCAATAAGCTACTGACTGAGTATGGTTTGAAATTTATTTTATATTTGAGTAAATTTTAAAAATAAAGTTAATTTGATACGAAGTAACAATATGCTTTTTTGATTTCAGTATTAAATATTGTAAGAATAAAATCCAAGTCCTATATCCTCTCTTTTGAAGTAGCATTTAGTTTTTTTTTTTTTACTTTGGAAGTGTTGCTGAATTTATTTTTATTTATATTTTTAAAGGTTTATGCATCCCATATTGTTTCAGTAGTAATTTAGTAAGAATAGGTACTAAGCAGAAGTAGCTAAGTTGTATATTCATTGTAAGATCATGGTACTTTCAAGTAAATTATATTCACTTTGTATTAAAACAGCATTTTCCCGATGAAAATTGTGATCACAAATAGCATCCGAATTTCATCTATTTACCTTTGTGTCACTTGTCTCTTTCTTTAACTGAAGCAGTATATTTTATGAACTACTTGATCCTGACATTAAACTCACAACTGTTGGGAATCCTTTAACCTTATGTTTCTTGGACAATCCACTAATGTAATTTTGGTGCCTAATGTTTGTACTTAAGTGGTAGAATTTTTGAGTATTTTTTTTACTCAGAGGATCCCAGATGATGTTTATACTAGGTCTGTAGAGGAGTTTGTCAGAGCCAAACATATATGCTGATTCTTCCTATCATCTTATTGTCTGCTGTTCCTTATCTATTGACTTAATTCTACAGAGTGTTTGATAACTGCCCTTTTCCTTCCATACATGATCAGCCATGTCTGGTTTCAATGTTTTTCCCATACTGGAGCCTTTTGATTTTCCTCTATCATAACTTTTAGCTGGTCTTGCCTTTGCAGTCTTTGCCATAACTTTATGGGATAGAATACATGTTGTTCTTGATCATGTTCTCTTTGTTTAGGAGAGATGTCTTTGAAGAGCTGAACTGCTTTTGAATACTATCCTGATGTTGTATAGACTCCAGATCATCTGAATTGTTATGTTGTAACTTTTATGTACGGTAGATAAACAGTGGCAGATTTTTCATTATTTTCCTCTGCTCTTCTGTCTCTGGAAGCTGATATTACGCCTGAAGGTTATTGTTACCTTGAAGGTTGTTTCTAATGCTGATCAATTCCTATTGGTATGTACCTGGACTCACCACCTTATCAATTTTGGGATCATTTGGTGGGCTGGAGATGAAATTAGGAGTGCTTTATTTATCTCTTCCCTTTAAAATGAAAAATCATTAAAAAATTTGCTTCTCTAAAAAATGAATCTCTTTAAACAGTGGTTTAAAAGGAAAAGAAAAACACCAGTTTTAACCTGAAAGTATATAACAACTTGATATTATTATCTTTCATTAAATCTCAACAATTCCAGAGATCAATTTTTTTTATGGTGGTAGGGTAGGTTAAAACAGGTATTTATAGGAAGTTTGGATTAGTAGTTTCAACTTTGAGTGTTTCAGATGTTGACAAAGCACTTAGTTTAAGATTTCAATATCATGAGAAAATCTAAGTCTTCTGGAAATGTAATTACAGGATTGTATTTTTACTCAAGAAGTCATGCCATTGCTAGTAAGAAAAAGATGTATTGAATAAAGTGTCAAGAAATAATACAAATGATATAATATAAACTCAATGGAATTACTCAAGTTGTCAGCTAAGGCAGTATTATATAATTTTTGCATGTCACCAAATCTTGCTGCTTGCTTGCCATTTATTCGAGTCACCCACAATTTCTCCACCTTTCCAACAAGACTGTATATTCCATTACCATACCATTGTACTATGAATTTGTTGGAAGTATTTATAAAGTTGCATTTTACATTTTCTGGCAGTTCAGTGTAAGTATATAGGATACCAAATTCATCAAAGTAATCCCAAGACAATATTTTTTGGCTGAAATTCATTTTCTTCTTCATTTTCACTTTTGTCAATGCTGCTATTGTTTTGATCTGTTTGTCCTTTGTCATTCTAAGCTCACTGGTACACCTTTCTTTTGATAGTTCTCACAGACTTGTTACACATTGCATTCTGTGCATGACCATATTTTACTGATCAGGTTATCTTTGTACAAAGTGAAGCTATGAAGTTTTGAAATCTGTAGTATAGCTTGAGTAGGTCTTCACAATTTCCTCGGCTTCCAACTTCTTTATTGTCTGTTTGGTTTCTGAGCTGATCAATTCTACAAGCCCTTTCAATGGAGTAATTCCCTTGTCATGTTTAAGAATACCTCTCTTAAATGTATTTTTCGTCATCAATCCTAAAGTGTCACTGAGACCTTTCTCTTCATTTTCCTTAAATCAATCACATTTTTATCATGTATGCCATCAAACATCTTGACTAAAATTGCTCACCATACACCCATCACTGAATCCTTTCCAATGTTGTATTTGATGTGGAATTTTTTCTTTGAAGATTTTAAAAGCTTTGAATTGTTGTTTGTGATATTTTTTGTTTTTGCTTAAAATGATTATTACTCCTTTACATAAGTTTCCATCTTTGGAATATTTGACACAAAGTAGGTAAAAAACAAAAAAAATAAATTTAATAAGAAATTAGCATGTTTATGCAAATTCTTCAGAGTCAATATTTTGATTAGCATGCTATTAGCACACTATGGAACTGGGAATAGTTTCACCATTGTGACACTTTTACCACTTATCCCTCACCTCCTTATGCTTAGCATAATGAAATGGTCTCAAGTTGTATGTAAAATCAGTATGCAATAAAAGCTTATGAAAATTCAGTATTTTTCTTGCGGCAAAAAAATATATAGTTTATTACAGTTGGCAACAGTTACTAGTATCATATGTTGTTGCATGCATGTGCACATAATTGAAAATATTTCCGAAACCAAGAATGGGCAATTAGAAATGTTTCCATATTTGGATTCTCTATAAAATTTGCTAGTATTTCCAGGTATGGAAGTTTATACCTGAGTAACTTTAATTTTTTTTTTAATTCTGTTTGGTTTTATGCATCTCATCCTTAAAACTTTGTCATATACTTTGTCAGTGGAAGAAATGAACAAGTGACACAAGGTAGAATAGACTACATTTGCCTGAAGTTATTAGGCAAATCATATAAACTTCAATAATTCAAATTTGGTTTTAATTCAATTTCATTGTCAAAACAAAGCCTGGGTTTAAATTTTAGGTAGTATCAATATGTTTTATTGAACTTATTTGATGTATTCTAAAAAATTGCCATCTGAAGTTATTAGGCAAAACCAAATAATCACATTTTACTTCAATAAAAAGCTAATAAATTCATCAGAAATCAATTGACACCTATAATAGAACAAGTACATTTACATTTTAATATAGTGACCCTTCATCTCAATAACAGCCAGTAATCTATTATCCATCGATTTTGTTGATTTTTTTTTTTTTTTTTTTTTTTTTTACTTTAGCAGGTTCAGTTTCTGACATGGAAGTTTAATTGCTTCCCATAGGTTTGCTTTGTTGTTATGTTGTTTGCCACCTTTATATAATTTCATCTTCAAAACTGACCAAAGATATTCAATCGGATTCAGATCAGGACTCTATGGTGGCCATTCCATCGTCTCCTCTACTGTAAATCTTTTATGCTCAAAGTATGCATAGGCAAGCTTAGATACATGAGAAGGAGCATTGTTGTGCATAAATATGTACTTAGAAACTGTGAGACAGTGACTTGTACCATGCAAAGAAAGTCTTGCTCATAAAATCGCAATAGTTAGCAGTGTTCAGTTTAACTCCTTCATTGACTTTGAATGGCCCAGTAATGATTTGGTTGACAATCCCAGCCCATATCACAAAACTACCACCTCCTTGTCGCCTTCTTTTAATCACAGGCATGTCTGAATTGGATAAAATCCATCCTTTGTCCTATACATCATGTCCATTAAATGTCACTCAAGATTCATCCATGAAAATTACTTTAAAAAAGTCAATTTTCATGTATTTCTTGGCTCAATTTTGACGTTTTAAAATATTTGCTTTAGTGGGAGGAGGTTGCTTAGATTTTTTTTACAGATCCCCAATTCACAAAGTATTCTACACCTTTTGTCCCTTTTGACTTCCTCATTTCCAGCCATTTCAAAGAATTGTGTGCTAGTCAAAAGTGGTTGCTTTGCTATAACTCGCTTTAGTTTACATTCATCTTGAGGAAGCAAGTTCTTAAAGCCTTTTTCTTTGTTTTGAGTTCTCAACATATTTTCAACAGCCTTCTTTAGCATTCAATGATCTCTGCAAAGCTCATTTGATATCACCATTGTGGACATATCCTCACTCAATAACTTTGTTATTTTCTGTTTTTCAGCAGTTGTTAGATCCTTCCCTTTACCCATGTTTCAACATATATTACGGACAAAAAGAAAAAATAGTTTTTATTAGATTTCAGAAATTTTTACTTTAATCTGGTTCTTAACTCCAATCAGTCCATTTTCACAAATACCAAATATCTCAAAAACTATCCATTAAAAATGGCAGATAATTTAGTTAAATATTTCATTCAGGGTGAAAATGGACAAATTTAAATTTGACAAATATTGGTTCAGAACTTTTTGAGTTATTGAGATATATTTGATTTGCATAACAACTTCAGACAGACTGTAGAGAAAACTGATATGAAATATTCCCTAAAGCATGACCTATGGGAAGCTGGATGAGAACAATATACTCTCACAGACTGAATAAAGTGTTTAGTTCATAATTCTTAGAAGCTTATCAAGTATGAGTGATACTTAAAGAAGGCCAATATTTTAATTATTTCAACAAAGATGAATATACTAGTTTGAATAGGAAGGCATATAATAGGTATCACAGATGAAAATTTCAAACAGGTACTAGGTGTTATCTGATTGCATCTTCTTAATCTACATGATTAAAGAAACTTAGCAGTTTTTATTTCATTAAAATATCTCAAACTGTTTAATTTTGGCAGATTTCTATTTATTTTTACACATGTGCTCCATTTTTTTGTCTATTATGAATTAGTCCAAAATACCATATTTGGACTCCTATATTTTAAAAAGCAATTAAGAACAACAGTTAAAATTATACTAGCTTCTTAGGTACATAACAAAGAAATTAACAATAAAATTACAGATAGTATCACTTAAATAAATTCAGTCTGAATATGCAAATTTTATAAATCAAACCCTCTGCAACAACGTCCAAACAACTCAAAATCTGAGGTTTAACATTTCATAAAACTGGAAATAAGACCTACATTCATCCAAAATTTCAAATATCACATTATGACTATACCAGTAACATGCCTAATTTTGGGGTGAGTGATAGAATGGATATATTCTGGACTATTCCACTTCAAATTTGAAAAAAATTGCTTTTAAACCCTTTGTCACAAGGTATTTGAAAGGCTGTTTAGACTGAAGTGGAGACTTGCTTGAATTGTGTTATAAAATTAATACTTTTTACACTAGAAACACCAAATTTCATATCCAGCCATTTCTGGGAGTGTTCTTTCCATTTATCGTGGTTAAAATGACCTAAAAACAACAGATTAGAATGTATATGGAGCAGATGCTGAACAATTACAGTCCTGACTCAACATGTACAATTTCTGGACTGTAGAGAGAGAGAAGCTTAACACTCAACGAGCAATGCCCACTAATGAACATAAGAAAACAACAGGAAACTTACCATATCATGAAGTGGTATTCAACCACTAAATTTGTAACTGAAATCATTAAAATAAAAATATTTTATCTTTCACAATTTGATCAAAAGGTTGAAATTCTGACACATGTTAGTTCTGATCACTACGTAAGTGGTATGAAATCACCAAATTGTCTCAATTTTTAAACTGTAATGTTCCTCTCACATTATGCACATAAAAATAAACAATACAGACATAAAATTAATCAAATAAAGTTTATTTGGAAATTTTCAGTAATGGTGGGCTGGGTGTTTGAGATACCTCTTCACTGAGTAGTCAAAAGTAAGTCTTGGCATAATCTTCATACAATCCCTCCAAATAATCTAATTCAGGCACTAACCAAGTTCTTCTAGTCTGACTAGTATATCTCTGCTGGCATATCCAGTTTATATAGTTCAAGTATGAGACCATTTGTTACTCCCGCACATAAAAGCTTACAAATCAGCGTTGGAGCCGACAAAACACTGAGAGTCAATCGAAAACTCTCACATCTTTTACCTCTCAAATGAATCTCAAATTTGTTACCTCAGGGTATAATGCAGGACGATCCACTTTTGGACAACTCTGAACTTCTGCTACAACTTTCTCAATAAGGTGTACCCATCTATTCTTGGGAACAATTTATGTAGCCAAGTAATAGTAGAATCCCAGGTTTCCTGATAATTCTCTTTCAATGAATATATTTGAAGCAGCACTTTCTTGGAACATTCCACTTTAGGCAAAGACATCTTCCTTCCACGTCCTTTTGTCATAAAACAACATTGTAACTGATTCTGTACATTGTCATCTTCAAAAAGAAAAAAAATGTATTATAATCCTATCCCATGTTGTCGAAGTACTACTTAGTAGTCATCTACAAATTATTGTCTACATTTTCTTACTGAATTTGAGTTTATTTGCAGTTCATAAAAAAATTGCACTAAATACAATCAGGGATAAATATAAATTTAGAGTCATCCATACACCTGAGTAACAAATAAGGAAGCACTAAAATATTTTCTCAACAAACCTATTTCCACAGTAGTCCTTAAAGTTGACACATTGTTTATTTTATTCTAAAATATTTTAATCATAATCTGTATGAAATAAATATTACTAAGAAATAATGATAAATTAGGAAAATGAATATTAAATCATAAATTTTTATCTAGATAGCAATAAATCGCAACTAAAATCCATTCATTAGATAATTTAAAAAGTAAGAAAATTGTTTGAAGGGGTAACTTTAAACAAAATGTTACTTGGTAACTGAAATGCTGATAATTATTGTGAGAATACTACAAAAACATAAAAGACATTCTAGACATTTTTTTGCACTTTTTTATCTCCTTCTTTGAATATGAACATTTTTCGATCAATAAGTCCTACGTATTTTTTTGTTTTTTTTTTGTGATTTGAATCTGAGCGTAAAGTAAACAAACCAATTTTTGTTTCATGTTTTTTATGATGAAAATGGTTTTTAAATCCCAATTTAATTACTTTTAAATTTGCAGAAGTCTAAACTGCCATCAGTGAAAAAAATGGCCAAAATTTTGCGAAATCACCAAAATGTCTCTATTTTCAAAATGTAATGTTCCTCGTACACTGTAGTACATATAAAAATAAATAAGATAGAAACAAAGTTTGTGAAATAAGCTTTTATTTGGTATGCATTATGTTTTTATGGAGATATTGAATGAAATAATATGGTGAGTTGAATATATACCTTTTTTTAGTGTTTAGTTAAGAATTTCATCGGCTGTAAGCTGAGTGCTGGGATACCTTCATATAATATATACGTGTGCTTGTGTGTGATACTTTTATTTTATTTTAGGCAGAGCTCTGAAGTGCCACTTGCTTCATTATTGACAGGTACTATGCTAGTAAAAGAAATAATCTTTTGTTCAAGCTCAATTCTTTTTACTTCAGTTTCCCATTTGTATATTTTCTGTTTGAAAATAAGTATGGTGTTCTTTGCAGGTCTGAAACTGGAATGTTGAGTTCCCTCTACGGCTTTTTTGCACTGTCAGATAATGCCAATGCCAAAGGCCCAACGCCTGAGGAACAAGAAGCCACAAAGCAGGCTCACAATTGCACTCGTGACTGCCATCTTGAACAGTTGATTATGGACAGCAAATTCCTTAGGGAAGAGGCCTTACATGAATTGGTGAAAGTGAGTTTATTTGTTATTTTGTTCTTGCTTTTGGCCTAAATTATTGTGTAGAGTATGGCGATATTTTTATAATGACCAGAATTATGTATTTTAATGACTGATTATGAAAATATTTACAATGTTAAGATTGTTCCAACTGTTGTCCTCATCTTTATTTTTATATTCATGGTGTTTCGGTCATTGTATGCTCCGGCCTTCTTCAGACAATATATGTTGAAATTTCGAACCAAACCCTTTATTTCATTCACTAGGGTAGCTTGTTCTAGTTCCATGCTTTTTCTAGATATCTCCATTTCAGTTATTTCCCTTTAGTAACTCAACTCTCTAAATTTTTGTTCACCTCTGCAGTGGCCAGGTATTGAACTGATAACTCTTTGGGTCAAGTCATTGGATTACTTCAACCATCGCTTCTATCCACTGGGCCATGTGGATAAAAGCATTGATTAAAGTAATCCAGAAAGTGACTTGACCCAAAGAGTTGTGAGTTCCATACCTGGCCACAGCAGAGGTAAAGAAAAACTTGGAAAGTTGAGTTACTAAAGGGAATTAACTGAAACTGAGATATCCAGAAAAGGCATGGCACGTGAAACTAGAACAATCTACACCTGTTGACTAAATAAAGGGTTCAGTTTGAATTTCCAATGTATATCACCTGAAGAAGGCCGTAGCGTACAATAGCTGAAACATTGTGAATGTCTTAATAAAGATGAGGACAACAGTTTGAATGATGTAAATAGTGTAAATTGTTACAATACCTCATCTCAGAAATATAGACAGATGACTAGGAATGTGTTTAGCAATAAATTGGATGAACCATTAGATAATAATTTGATGGAAATCATGGCTTTATTTTATTTTTATTTATTTTTTTAATTATCATAAACTGTTTTTTTTTTTTTTTTTTTTTTTTTTTTTTCTATGCTTATCGGGCTATAAATTAGTTTACCAAATTTTGTTTCTCATTTTTTTATGGTATTCTACAAAAAATGTATTTTGATTTTTTTAATATGTATTATAAATAGTTTAACTGATTTATAAAATTAATGAAAAAAATTAACAAAAAGTGTAAGTTTCTTTATTTTTTATTATAAATGTTTATCTTGTATGTCAGTATCTGATGAGTAATTTATTTTTTTATTCTTTCATTCTGGATAATCTATTTTGGGGATTATTTCTTTTACAGACATTAATTGTTGGGTCACAGACTCCAGATACAGATGAAGCTCTATGCATGCAAGGGGATGAAGACTCTGCTGTTTTTTTCCTTGAATTACTCATTAAAGTTGTTTTACAAAACAGGTTAGATAATCCATTTGTAGTGATGCTTTTTTTTCTTTATTTTTTATTTTTTTAACATTTCTGATTTATGTCTTGTTTATGGAGACAAAGGGGCTAAAACTTAAGTCACTTCAGATAAACTTTCTAATATGAAAGCAAACAAGAGTTATGCTAGAGAAACCATAAAAAATATTGTTTAACATGATTTCACTACTGGCACTGGTGAATTTCAATGTTTCATTGTCTTTCTTATGAAACTTATTAAACAAAATAAAAATTGTACTCAGAACATGTCATGTTTTACTTCCTAGATTTTTAAACTACTGTTTTCATCGTTGTTGTTTGCAATCCATTGTTTCAGCTGATATCTTCCTTAAACTTCCACAAGTGTATATTGTATCCAGTCTTTAAAAGTTACTTAATAATTTTTTTCTCTTCTTCCTTTTCATCTCCTCAACAAGAACATCATAATCCCATAGAAACCAGAAAAATAATTATTAGAGATTTGTATTACTGGTGTTGGCATGAGAACCATTGACGATACATGTGTTTAGTCTATTTTTATTTTGAGATTTGTGTGTGCTGGTTTCCATATAGTGTCAACACTTATATATTGTGTATTTTTGACAAGTACACGTATATATTTGTTTTTTTTTTTTTTTATGGTATTTTGGTCTCATTCCAGAGTAGGATTCACTTTATATACCCCCCCACAGAGTTGTTTTACCTTAAATTATATATTTCTGATATTCTTAAAGTTTCAATTTTAAAGGATAGTCAACTTATATATTCAGTAATGTACTAAAGTCTTCAATCATTTTAAACTATTGTAAATTTATAATAATTGTTATTTTATCAGTGGATGTTTTTTATTGGCCTATCTACAGATGAAGCTTTGGCCATATTGGTATCATTTTCATGCCTAATTATCATATTTTTTAGTGGTAGTTCTGAAGGAGAGTAAAAGATGTGAGATGACACCCCAAAATAATTAGGTTAAAAAAAGTAATTGATGAGTTTGACTTCTAAAGACTGGATGCAAAACTGGGGATATATTAACTAAAATGTGATGTCAAAATATATGGAATAATGAAAATGCTTCCAATTAGAATTTCAGAAAATTTTTCTTCTTTTTTTTTTCTCTCCAGAGACCGTGTGACAATTGTATGGCAAGCTGTTAGGGATCATTTATACAATTTGATTGTCAATACAACTGAACATACATTCCTTGTAGAAAGAGCTGTGGTTGGCCTTTTGCGTATTGCCATTCGCTTACTCAGGAGAGAAGAAATTGCTTCACAGGTCACTGATCCATTCCTCTTTGTTTTTTCTTTTTTTTTTTCCTGGAATCTCTTGTGGTTTGTGACAACTTGAAAATTTGCTGTTTTTTATTTTTCTGTCATGTGTTGCACTTTTGTAAGTGATGGTTATTTTAATTTTATAAAAAACATTAAATGGATCTTCAGTTAGAATGCAGTTTGAATGAAGGATCTAAGTACAATTTAAAAATGTCAACAGTTTCTGTTTTTAATAATGCAGGTTGAATATTTGTTTAAGAATGAAATGGAGAAGCATAAAAAATGCTAATCAATGAAAACCATTTTTTTTAATCAAGTTTATATATGTATTAAATGCCTCACTACCTTCTGCTAGTATAAATGAAATTTCTTAATTTTATCCCAGTAAAAGTGGTTAAAGCAACTTGTGGAGATTATTTTTAGATTTAGTGAGAATACTTTTTCTAATATCTGTCTTATGTTTTCTCTCTTATTAATTAATATCATTATTAATATTTAATAACAACAAATGATGTTTGTTAATTAAACTTTCTTTTTCTGATTTAGTGACCTACTATGGATTAAACTAATGATATTGTTCAATTGTGACTACTCTTCTAAATCATGTGGACATTAGAGAGCTTTGTATCATTATCTCATTGATATGGCAATGACCATAAATAGAAGCTAAATCCACTGACATAAAAAAATTCAAATACATTTTTGTTTCTCTTGTTGCTTATATTTTACTTTGTCACTAATTTGTAATTTTTACCATTGCAGGTGCTGACCTCCCTCCGTATCCTACTAATGATGAAGCCAGCCGTGATCCATGCCATCTGTCAACAAGTTGCCTATGGTCTGCATGACCTGCTTCGTACAAATGCTGCCAATATCCACTCCACCCAAGACTGGTATACCCTCTTCACCCTCCTTGAGGTTGTTGGGGCTGGGGCTAAGCCTCCAACCTTCCTACAGATCTGTACTGGGAATGAAGCCATTGAGTCAACAATGGATTCTGGTATGGTTTTTTTCAACTTTTCTTTACTCTGACTTTTTCAGTTTTATGAAAAATACACATCTTCATCTAATCCATTCATTTATAAAGATAAGTGATGATAAAAACTTGTTTAATGTTTTTTTAAATTTTTTAAAAAAATCTAATCATTATTGGTCTTACTTAGAAAACCATGTACTGGATAATTGTCTTGTAGTTTGTCTTGACTATTCTATCTGGACTTTAATCAAAATTTCAAGTACCCATCAGCTTCTTTTATTAGAAATTAACATATTAACATCAATAACATGACTAATAACATTCTTTTGTTAGTTATTTTTTTTAGCCTAGATCAGAAATTCACTTAAGTTGTTTGACTGTGAACCATTTTCTGTACTCTATTTACATTATTCGGACTATCATCCTCATCTATGTTGCCATATTTATCACAACGTTTCAATCTGTCTCTGACTACTGAGAGTGCCTCCTCCGTGGGCAACCTTGGTAAACAAACTCACCACATCCAAGCTTCACCATCTGGTTGCATAGGATGGGGGCATCTTTGATTATTTCCACGAAGGTGACTTTCTGATCAATGGATCAATTATATCTACAAGGAAACGACTCTGAGGGTGGCACACAGAGCCTTGGCAACTAACAATCTGCCTGAGCGGGATACCATCTTTGTGAATCTTAGAGACAGATTGGCCTCTGACTCATCCTTAGGAGAACAGACCAGTATTCCAATAGATAATCTGATGGAGATGTTGACTTTCTGTACACAAACAACACACTTCAGAATGGGATCACACATATATCGACAGGATGAGGGCTTAGCAATGGGCTCACCATTATCACCAGCAATGGCAAACATATACATGGAATACTTTGAGGAAATGGCATTGGAATCTATATCTCTAAGGCCTACTCTATGGTTAAGATATGCAGATGACACCTTCATACTCTGGCCACACCAGGAAGATGTCCAGGTTCTACTGGACCATGTGAACTCAATAAGGCCTTCGGTACTCTCTTTCTCCATCATGAACTGTGACAACTCACTCCCATCATTCCTGGATGTTCTAATATTTCGATCAGAGCATGGGTTCAAGACATCTGTATACCACAAACTGACATTCACCAGACAGTACCTCAATTTCAACTCCCACCATCCATACAGCATAAAGAAAGGGATCATCTGCTGCTTACAACACCGAGCAAAAGTCATAAGTGGCGACCCAGAGACATTAGATAAAGAATTGGTCAGTATAAGCAGTACCCTAAAATGTAACAACTACCCTAGGTACATGGCAGCAGCCCCAATAAACTGGGATAGGCGGGTACAAGAGGAGGACAACAACAATCAGAAAACAGTTTGCCTGCCTTATGTGAAGGGGTTATCAGAAAAAATACAAAGGATCTGCAGTCCATATAATATCAGGACAACCTTCAAAAGCTGCACGAGACTTCGCAGATACCTCTCCTGAATAAGACCCCCACCCATTGAGGGGAACATGACTAAAGACTGTGTGTACGCCGTCCCGTGCAGCTGCGGAAAGAAAAATAAAAGGGAGACAGGCCACTCCCTTAAGGTAAGGCTTCAAGAACACCAAAAATCTGTAAAACGAGGGGAAGTGGAAAAATCAGGTGTGGCTGACCATATATGGAGAGAAAAGGGAAATCACCGCCCCTGTGGGATCAGTTTGAAATCATAGACAAAGAACATCATTAGAAAATTCGTAAACTTAAGGAGTCAGCACATATGCTAGGCTACAAAAATCTCCTGAGCTGACCAAGCATAGAAATGAATACAATATGGCAACCAGTAATAAGGAGTGCCAGAGAAAAGCAATAATAACAATGAAAATTGCAATATGAGCTTTGGTAAATAACATGCTATGATAACAGCAAAAATTGCAATATGAGCACTGGTAAAAAAATGATGCTGAAGACATTAAGTTTATAATTCCCAGAAATACACAAACAGATATCCTCAAGGACACATGTCACAGTGGATGAAGGCATTAGTTAGATCCAGTGACAGGATCCAAAGAGTGTGAGTTTGTAACAATATTTAGCATGACCAAACGGAAGAAATTGCATTAGTTTATACTATTGATTATTAGAGACCAAATAGAAGAAAATTATATTAGGTGATGTTCTATTCTGTTTCCAATATGAACAGAGAAAAAAAAACAAGAAAAATGACGATATTTTTTTTAATGAAAGGAGTTATAATTGAACGGGAATTAGGTGCAGGTAAAATTATCACAAGAGTCATGGTATTCTCAAAGTAAAACAGTCATATCGGATCATATCAATCAACTGTTGACGACAGCTATGAAACAGGACTGTTTAATCAAGGAGAAAGCATTTTCCAGCTGTGGATTGTAAACCAAAAGAATGTGTCAACACAGAACAATGGATGCCCTCTGACCCACAATGGATGAGTTGGAAGTGAATTTTGTTGACAGGATTTAAACAGGCCAGGGTCTGGCTTCATGATTCCTTTACCCACAATATATCCAAGTAGCCTGGTTGTCGACTCATAGTTGAGTGTAAGATTATATTCCTTGACAGCTGCCAAAAACTGTTTTAGATTATGATTGTGGTTGGCCCAGTCCTGGCCACACACTGTCACATTATCTATGTAAGCAAAAGTGCCTTGTATTTTTTCTTCAATAATTATTTTATTGAGAACCCTCTGAAAATTGGAAATTCCATTAGTGAGCCCAAACAGAATCTGTCAGAACTGATAAATTTGTCTGCAGACTTCAAAAGCCATATAAGGATTATCTTTATGGTCTATAACTACTTGTTGGTAAGTACTCCTTAGGTCGAATGTGCTAAATATTCTGTATTTGGTGATCTTGTTTATCATCTTGTCAATACAGGGTACAGGATATGCATCCAAGATGTACCTTTTATAGTTTGGGAGTAGTCTATGACCATCCTTTTTTTATTATTATCAGAGGACATTATTATATTTCTGACCCATGGTGATCTGCTTTCTTCCATTATTCCTTCTCTTAATATTCTTGTAATTTCTGCTTGAATAAACATTTTGTCTTCAAGAGAATATTTTTGAGATTTGGTGGCCTTTGGTTTACAGTTTTTGGTTAAGTTTTCAAAATGAGGTGGGTATTATACATTTATAGTGACCAAGCCACAGATGTTCAATGCTGGTTTAGGGTCCCCAAAAGGGAGATTAGTACTAGAATGCTGTTTGAGGAAATTATGGCCCAGTATGACCTTGCAGCACAGATTTGGCATCATGAAAAATTTGGTGTTGGTGTAGTTAGTCTGATTCAACTCTAAGCTGGCCAAAATATATCCTGTAACCTGCAAAGATAGTGAAGCATTTGCCATAGGCACCTGACTATTACAATATACGATTTTAAATGTTTCTTTTTGCAATATTGGCACTAATAAAACTGAGCTTCCTGTGTTGAATAGAGTATTCATTTTTACCCCATTTATTTTTACTGTTAATATAGACTAAAAGATATTTAGGGTTTGTAGTTGATATGATACTAGTTGCAATGGGAGCATTTGAACCAGTTGAAAAAAAAGCTTCCTTCTTCCCGCACTTGTGGCATTTAGTTTCCTTGGCTAGGCAACACGACCTGGGGTGTAGTTTAAAATCATAAAAATAACATTTTTGTCTGGCTGCAGTACTAGCAGTGTATGCAGTGTCTTCCAGAGAGTAAGATTTTTCTAATGCATTTATAAAGGAAGTCTCTGGTAAATTTGCCCTTTGCCTGATCTGCTGTCATTGCTTGAAAGTCGCAGTCTCGACTTAAGATTTTTAAGCGCTGAAGATACTGTTCTAACCCTTCTTTAGGGGATTGGCGGGTTCTTACTCATATATGCTCGGCAAAGATTATGTTTCATCTCCTTATAAAAATTCCATCCAAAACGTCCATGGCATTCTGTTAAGTTTAGTAGTGAGAGATATTGGGATATACAGATGTGGAAACATGGTGCATTAGCAGGTTAAGTATCCGTATCAGTAATCTGAGTGGATGAACTGTTTTTCAGTGCAAGCAAGAATCCTTTGAATAATTATTTCCAATATTGCCAGGCATCAGTAGAAGACGGATCTACAGAGTCTAAGTTGAGACGTTCTAGTTTAAGGTGTTTGTCCATAATTACATTGAATAAATTGTAATGAAATGTTGGGAGTCTAGTTCTGCTTAATGTGCCTTTATTGAATGTAACTGAAGAGTCGTGCCAGCTAAGGCTGTGACTTATACAAATCATAAAACAGGGGAGGTAATCTGGTTGTCTTACCACAATCATGTTTATTCTAAATTGATTACCATATATATTTTAAATTTGTTTTCCTGTTATAGAAGGAAATTCTTCAGATTAACAATGAATTATCAATGAAAATATATATATATATATATATATATATATATTTTTAAACTAAAACCATTGATTTAATATTAAAAGTCTCTAGAGCCCTTTCAGCCAACATCTCATCAGGAGACAATCGTTGGATTAGCTCGTTCTGAATAATAGTGATATTGAAGATGCAAAAAATTGGGGGAAACACTAAAATATCAATGGTTTCTAGTTTTTAAAACTATTTATAAATTTTGTACCTCCAAACATTTGTTTATATATATATATATATATATATATATAATCTGGGAAGAAATAAAATAAATGCCAGTTACAATTTGACATAAAAATCATTGAAGATACGGAAATGTTTAACTTTAAATTTAATTTTTTAAATATTTTTGGCATCTGGTTTATCTGTATGCATAACTTAGATGACCTCATTTAGCTTTCTATCAATTTTGTTTTTATTTTCATCGTTATTGCTTAAGGTGTTAAAATCTTCTGCTGATAAAGCAGATTGTTTCAACTGTAAATTCTCCTCAAACTACTGTTGACTAATCTGGAGTATCCTTGCCTGACTTACCTCTACTGGAGACCCTAATCAATTCTCATTTTGTTAAGCACCTCACATTGTAGGTCCTTCTCTCAGACAAGCAGTATGGCTTTCACTTCTTTGGTCACTGCTGATGTACTAACGATTATTGCTGAAAGAGTCTATCAAGCTTTAGATAAGACTGGTGAAGCTTGGGCTGTTGCTTTGGATATCTCGAAAGCATTTGACAGGGTTTGATATAAAGGTCTTCTTTATAACTTGAAAGGCTTTCACAGATTTGAATTGTCCTTTTTTGAACCAAGTCTTTCTTATCAAATTGTGATGTGAATGTTGTCTTGAATGGCTACTCTTCTAGATTTTTTGTACTAATGCAGGTGTCTTCCTTGGACCTACTTGGTTCTTAATTTTCATCGATTACCTTGCTGATCGCATCAGTTCTCAATTCGATATCTATACTGATGACACAATTATTTACTCCTAGTAAGTCTGATCAGTTCAATAAGGTCAAATTGGCAGTTGATCTAAAAAAAAAAAAAAAAAACAGTCTGTTGTTAACTGGGTTAAGGAATGACTTGTTAATATTAACTCCTTCAAAACAAAACTTCTCTATTAATCACCTGCCTCCCATTATCATGACGGTGACTTGTTGCACCTTCTCAGGCTAACATTCTCAGCTAGCATGAAGCAGAAAGATTATATTGAATTCATTGATCTAGGTCTGCAAGCTAAGAAACTTGATTCACTGTGCTGTGCTGACAATTTTCTCTCCTGAATCTATTTTACATATTTATAAGTCTACTATTTGTCCATGCTTTGAATATTGTTGAATGTTTCAACAATCTTTTCTTGTTTCTATGAGATTATTCTTTCTTGCAAATTTGCTTTTTCCAAAATTCAGTATAATTCTGTAATTTCTTAGCAAATACAGATGATCTTCATTTTCATTTTGTTGTGTCGGAAACCTACCACCCCTCTTGAAGATGAACTTGTCTGCGAACAAAGACTTTAAATAGTGGCATGTCAGTTGACATGGAAAGGAGACAGATAGACAGAGAAGTTCTTAGCTGAGCTAGTTATTGACTACTCAGGCAATTTCTGTACCTTTTACCAACCTATTAAAACCCTTTTTATTGTTACGTGTTATTTGGCGTTTGTCTCTACTAACTCCAAATCAACATCATAACACATTTCAAAGCTATCCATTAACTGGTCATGATACTTCAAATTATTGTACTGATTTCTGCTGTTTATTATGTTTGTTAATCCTGCATCTCAGTAGTTCCTCATGCTAAATAATTTGTCCCTCAAACTATAGATTGCTTTGTTTATTTTATTTTTTTTTTTGTTGCTACTTTAAACCTATTGTATTATACTGATAGATCAAAGTATCTAATGTTTTTAATCTTTCATGGTTCTGTATTTTTGTTTTAAGTTTTTTAAACTTATCATTTTATAAGAAAAATCATTTTCTTTTTGCAGGTGCTCAAAGTGATAGTGAAATTCAGACTGTGAACATTCCATCTGAATCTGGCGAGAGAGGTTATACATCAGATAGTGAACTGTATGACACCCAGTCCAAGCATCATCGCATTTGCCATACAGAATTGGAAGTGAAGCCTGTACCCGACAATGGCAGCTGGCTCATGGTAAGTGGGGGAAATTCTGTGGAGTGGGGGAAACCTCTACTTCTATTACACTTTTTAGCAGCATTGTAGAAGGTATATTTACTATGTTTACCTCATAATTTAAGTAAACAGAACCAAATTGATAGAACTCTTTGAAAAATTTAAAGGGTCTTGTTACTTCCATAGATGTTGTCAATTTAAATCTAAATCCATGTCTTTATACTGTTTGAAATTATACTTTTGATTGTTTTTATAATCTCAAGTATGTATTCAATTTTAATCTAAAATAATCATACATTAAAGGTGAAGCCTTTTGATTTCTTTTCAACTTTTTACTGACAGTTTTTGTTATGTAAGCATAGAAAATGCATTTCATTTTGATATGTATAGTTTTCAGAAATTTCATGTTGCTTGTAAAATAACATCTCATTTGTGTTGATAATGAAAATAATGAAGTATTTGATGGTAATACGTTTTTCTCATTTTGTTTTGTATATGTTTTAAAAAATTATCTTGAAGCATTAAAAAAAGCTTTGTGATAATGTTAGATTATATAATTACAGTTATTGCTTAATGGTAGAACATGGGATTGAAAGTCAAATAATATAAGGTTCTTCTTAGGTATTTTGTTTGTGGGCCTTCACTTATCTTTCATGAAACATTTTTATATATTATCTTCTCATGTAACATTAACGAAATGACAAATAATTTACATGACCATTTTTAGAAACAGAAGTATCAATATGAAACAGGAAAATACATAGCATGGAATAAACATTTTTTATGCTTACTTTCAATACTATTTGTAAAAATAGCAGTCTAAATATCAAATGTTTTGGTCAAAGAGAAGTTAGTTTCTAATTATGACAATACATATCAAGATTAAAAATTTTAATTTTCTGAGTAAGATCTGTGATACTTATATATAGATGCATTATAACAATTTAAACTAACAGAGGTTATTAAAAAAATGACTTTTGACAATATTATAATTTTCTAGAAACTGAAACAATTGCTTTTGTTTAGTTATTAGTAAGTATGTGTGTGTGTCAGGATGGTAAGTGACAGATTTTATATTTGTATTAATCATATATTATTCTCTTCTTACAGGTGGATAAGGAAGTAGTGAGCAGTGGGTCCTCTGTATCTCCTCCACCTTCTCAACGTTCCCCACGTAACCAGTACTCCATTGATCTCAATGAGGAAATTTACTACTGTGATTCAAAAGCTCTGCTCAGATCTTCAGAAACGCTGGCCTTTCTTGTCCGTGATGCTGTACATGTGACACCACACAATTTTGAGAGCTGTATTCATGCCATCAGAGCATTTGTGGAAGCCAGCATCAACGGAGGTCAGTTTGTTTTAAAGTTTGTTAACTGTTACAAATTTTGAGTGACATTCATTTGTTCTGGATTGTAAACATATTCTAACTTAAAACCAATGCTTTTGGTAATCTGTTTTGGTTCTAATAATCATTATGTGTAATTTGAAAACATTTAGTAACATATCAGCAGTTATTTGTCCTTTTATTCTTTATTTTCACAGTTTTGTCCAACAATTTGTTAAAAAAGTCAAAGATGACTTATCTCAGCTATTAAATAATTTGCTGAGACAATGTATATATTATTATAAAAATGAATATTTCTTTAATGTGTATACAATGTGTGTTTTTTACTTGGCCTCATATTTTTCTTCTTTTTTTTTTGTTCTACATAATTTTCTTCACATTTTATTTTGAGTCATTTTGTGTCAAATCAACAAGAGTCTGTCCATCACCGACACAGATTTTTTTTCAAATTTAGTACACTTATAGAATGCTAGAAATTAAATGGTACCTATTTTACATCTCTTGGTCAAAAGGTTCACAAGATATAACTCTTGCCAAAAAGATGAATTTTGGAAAATAGTAACAAAATTGTTTTTTCATCTACGAAGCTAAATTACAAAACATTTTAAAGTATTTGGATAGCTCTAAAAGGGGTTCTATTTATTTTTTTGTTTAACGCTCAAGTAAGAAAATTTGACCTTGACCTTAACATTTGACCATTAATTTCTCAAAAACTTGCCTTTATTTTTTGTTTTTTAATTTGTTTTTAATTTGTCTTCTTATGGCAAGATATATACAAAATTTTGTGGTGGACTTTTGACTCTGCCTGAGTTACAAGGATTTTACTGAATTGGTCCAACTATGTGGCCAAACAATGGAGATTTTGTCAGTGACAATCACAGGATTATTTATGCAGGCAGAGAGAAAAACAATAAAGGAGTAGGATGGATACTAGATCAAGAATTCAAGAAATGCTTTCTGGGATACTACCAATTATTCGAAAGGACTCTGGTAGTCAAGCTGAAAGGAAAGCCTTTCAACATAGCTATCATAATAGTGTATGCACCGACAGCACAAAGTAAGGAAGAAGAAATCGAATCTTTCTACTCCATGCTAGTCAACGTCAAGGCTCATTGCAAATCACAAGAAGTCATAATTATCATTATAGACCTGAATATCAAAATAGGCAGGGAGAGGGCAAGGGAGATAGGTGGCAAATTCAGACTACGAACCTACAATGAATGTGGAGAAAAATGGGTCCAATGGTTCACAGCCAATGACCAGGTAATAGCTAACATATGCTTCCAAGAACATCCGAGATGATTATGGACATGGAGAAGCCCAGTAGGAGAAACTAAAAATCAAAACTGACTACATAACTATTAGTAAAAGATTCAGGAATGCAATGGTTCACTGCAAAACCTACCCAAGTGCCAACAGTGGAAGTGAACATTGCCTTGTTATATAGAGTGAAACTATGTAAACTGAAGAAGGCTAACGCAGCACCCAAATAGCAATGCAACAAACTCCTGAGTGACCCAAACTTGAAGTAAAAATATATGGACAGTGTGAAAAGTAAACACAATGGAAATGAAAACTGTTACAGTGGAACAACCTATCACACCCCGACAGTGATCGGTCAGTCTAAAGAGACGTGAATGAGAAGAAAATAAAAGACGTGACAAAGTATTGTAGTAGCAGTACCACTACGGATCTCTGTTACGTATCTTCCGTTTTCTTTATTATTATTAAGAACTCTTGCTCATTGTACTTTCTGTACAATAAAACCCATGTTATTTGTTTTACCTAATTCCTGTGTTTAGTGTAATCTTTCCACTCGGAATTACCTAGTTGCTTATATTGTATTATCCACGATATAACAGTGGCAAATGAGGATTCAAAATGAACTCACAAGATAAAATAACAGTATCGAATGAGGATTGGAAAAAGATACCCTTCCAAATATAACAGTGACGACCAAGTCAAGTGAACTTTAAAAAAAAAAAAAAAGAAAAAAAAAAAGATGAATCATATGTTTTTACCAGTTGCTGGATTAATTTATCAATTAAATGAACAGTTGAATTTTTTTTATTTTCTTATTTTGTTGTACCTTAAAAAAAAAAAAATTAATATGAAAAAGTTGTTGGAATTTTCTAAAACCATGTGTTCTGCTATGCAGCAGCAACAGACACATTGGGAAGAACAAAATAAATCGATTCAAAAACAAATCGAATTATTACAATTACAACACCAACAGTATCAACAACAACAAAAAATACAACTACAAGAACAGCAGAAACAGCAGTTAGACTTACAAAAGCAAATATTAAAACAACAAGAAGCCTTGGAAAATATATTAACAAAACAAGTCGAGCAAAAGGAAGGGTCAAGATTTTTCTCTGCTGAAGGGATTACTAATTTACTTTCAGAATTCCATTACAAACATATGGAGGGTATAACTTTTCCAGCGTACTTCAGACGGTATGAAACAATTTTTTCGAAAAGATGTCAGTTATGGTCTGACGAAGAAAAAATTATATTACTATTACAAAAATTAGGTGCTCAGGAAAACACCAAGTACACTAATTTCATTCTACCAAAGAAGCCGGAGGATATCTCGTTCAAAGAAACGATTGAAATATTGTCTAAAATATTTGGTGAATGTGAAAGTTTATTTCTCACATGTTATAAATGTCTAAATATTGTTAAACAGGAAGAAGACGACTTTATTTCATATGCAGGAAAAGTGAATTCTCAGTGTGAATTATTCAAGATCAAAGAAATTAGGGAAGACATGTTTAAGTGTCTAATTTTTGTTCAAGGGTTAACTGCAACAAAGGATAAAGAAATTTGTTTGAGAATACTGGCAATTATGGAACAAGATATGGAAGTAACGTTACAAAAAGTTACGAAGGAATGCCAAAAGTTACTCGATATAAAACGGGACAATATAAGTATAGAAGAGAAAAATATTGCCCCAGTACAAAGAGTTAAGCAACGAGTCTACAAGGAAGTAAAATACTACTGCAAAGCATGTGGTGGAATAAACCATGCTACAAGTAATTATTATTTTAGAAGTAAAATATGTTATGAATGTGGTCGAAAAGGTGATAAAGCTACTGTATGCAAAAAGAAAAAACACCAGAAGTCCAAAAGGATAAATACAGTTTTATCTAAAAAAGATACAAATAATGATGAAAAAAGAAAGTATGTAGACGTTAAAATAAATGGTCGAACTATAAGCTGTCTGCTTGATACTAGAAGTGACATATCTATAATCGACAAAGTTAGATGGAAGAAAATTGGTCAACCAAAACTACAAAACATTGAGAAAATGGCCAGAGGTGTTTCTGGAAGGAAGTTAAAATTCAAAGGAGAATTTTACGCAAAATAAAACACGCAATGCAAAAGTCTACATCTTATCTGGAAGAAATTCAAACTTATTTGGTATTGACTGGATTGTGCTATTTAATTTATGGGAAAAACCAATTAATATGTTTTGTAGAAACTTAAATGTGTCGAATATAGAAAATTGCAAACAGACAGAAAAATTTGTTAAAGATTTAAAAAATGAATTTAAGGAAGTATTCTCTGGTGGACTGGGTTGTTGTACTAAGACGGAAGTAAAATTCAAACTAAAGGATAATGCAAAACCAGTGTTTAAACCAAAAAGAAAGGGGTACCATTTTCATCATTAGAATTACAATAACTAGAAGAAATTGGAGTAACGTAAAAAAGTAGATTACTCTTAGTGGGCGTCACCCATGGTGTACGTAAAAAAGAAAATTAAGAAAATAAGAGCATGTGCTGACTTTTCAACAGGTTGAATGAATGTCTAAAAGACCACAGCTATCCTCTTCCTATGCCGGAAGAAATTTTCTCAAAGTTGAATGGAGGAAAATTTTTTTTCTAAAATTGATTTGTCTGAAGCTTATTTGCAAGTCAAAGTTGAGGAAGAATGTACAAAATATCTAACTATTAATACACATAGAGGGCTATATAACTTAAAACGTTTGGCGTTTGGGTTGAAGGTAGCCCCGAGTTTTTCAACAAGTTATGGATATGATGCTGGCCGGTCTAGAATTTGCAATGGCATAATTAGATGATATATTGATAAAGAGCCAAAATTTGGAAGAGCACAAAAATCATATTTGAGAGGTATTCAAGAGAATAGAGAAATACGGATTTAAAGTGGGCCTTGACAAATGCGATTTCTGCATGAACAAAATCGAATATTTGGGTCAGATAATTGATCATAAAGGAAGAAAGCCTAACCCAAATAGAACAGAAGCTATAAGAAATATGCCTATACCGGATAATGTAACAAAATTACAATCATTCCTTGGTTTAGCTAATTATTATAGTTTATATATTCCTAAAATGCACGAGTTGAGAGCACGATTAAACGAATTATTAAGTAAAGGTAAGAAATGGTGCTGGACAAAAGAATGTGAAGAAGCATTTCAAAAAATAAAAAAGTGCTTATCAGATTTAGCATTAGCACATTATGAGCCGAAAAAGTAATTAATTGTAGCGTCAGATGCAAGCGAATATGGTTTATGTGCGGTACTTTTACGCAAATTCAAGGATGGATCAACAAAACCGATTGCACATGCATCAAGAACTACCTGTGGAAAAAAATTATAGTCAGATAGAAAAAGAAGGTCTAGCAATAATTTACGCCATTAAGAAATTTCACAGGTTTATTCATGGTAGATTGTTTGTTTTGCAAATGGACCATAAACCACTACTGTCGATTTTTGTTTCGAAAAAAGGCGTGCCAGCCCATACCACAAATAGATTACAGAGATGGAGTATTATTTTACTCAACTACAATTTCAAAATGCAATACTTGCTATCAAGAAAAATCGTACATGCAGATGGTCTATCTAGATTAATCCCCCGCCAAAAAACTCTGAATTGCTGGAAGAAACGGTGATAGCAGCACTAAAAGAGGAAAAAGAACTAGCGGAAGTACTTGTTAACACTGTTAGAGAGCTACTAGTGACACTGGAAGAAATAAAAAAAAGCAGCGAAAATAGATGAATATATTACCAACATAAAGAAATATGCAAGGTGGAACGAAAAGAAGAAAAAAGGTTTAAGGGTGTCTCCATTTTCGATATGTAATGAAACACTGATCTATGCAGATATAGTAATACTGTGTGTCCTACAAAAAAGAGTCTTGAAAGAATTTCATATGGGCCATCCTGGAATATCCAGAATGAAGTTGTTAATGAGAAGTTACACTTATTGGCCTAGAATGGACCAGGATATAGAAAATATGATAAAGCAATGTAAAGGTTGTCAGTTAGCAGCCAAAGCTCCACTGATAAGGACTTAGCCCTGGCCAAAAATGAATGTTCCTTGGACACGTATTCATATTGACTATGCAGGACCATTAAAGGGATACTATTATCTAGTAATCGTAGATAGTTTTTCTAAATGGACTGTGGTTTATAGGTACAAACATGTAAAAGACATGTAAATCAGATGAGACACCAATACATAGAAACTGTTGAAAATGACGTAGAAGTACCGATTGAAGTGTTATATGACACTTTCCAGATTCAACCCCCCATTAATAGTGAAGTACCGATGGAGGTAACATTGACTCCAAAAATCGCTGATTCTCCAAAATCTAAAGGTATACCACCTTGAAATGCGAGGAGGAAAAGTGATAGGAAGAGAAAAAGGATTACATACCTATGTCCAAACCCAAAGAGAAAAAAAAATATTAAAAGCAAAATTCTAGGGAAGAATTTAGCTCAGGAGAAGGTGTTATAGTGGAACAACCTATCACACCCCGACAGTGATTGGTCAGTCTAAAGAGCCGTGAATGAGGAGAAAATAAGACGTGACAAAGAATTGTAGTAGCAGTACCACTACAGTTCTCTGTTACGTATCTTCCGTTTTCCTTATTATTATTAAGAACTCTTACTCATTGTACTTTCTGTACAATAAAACCCATGTTATTTGTTTTACCTAATTCCTGTGTTTAGTGTAATCTTTCCATGATATAACAAAAACTCACAACACAACTCGAAATGGGACACACTAAGTGACATCAGCAAATGATATCATTTCAAAGGAGAATACTGGAAGATCTCAGCAAATCTATTTTCATAGCACTGTCTCAGAAACCAGGCACAAACAAATGTGAACTCCACTGAACAATCAGCTTAATGAGCCACATAACAAAACTCATCATCTATATACTGATAAATAGAGTGCATAGCAGAACCAGGCCAGAGATAGAACAAGAACAGTGTGGGTTCATTTAAGACACCAGAACAAGAAACACGATATTCATGCTTGGAATGTTATCAGAAAGAACAATACAAATGCAGAAGGATGTGCACCTGTGTTTTATAGACTATACAAAGGTGTTCTACAAAGTATGCCACAAAGATCTGTTCAGCAACATTTTAATATTCAGGAAAGACATTAGAATAATCAAAAACCTCTGTTGGCAACAAACTGCTTTCATAAAGATAAAAAATGAGTTCAGCAGATATACAAAAATAGAAAGGACATAATGTATCTTCTCACCAGACTTATTCAACCTATACAGCAAGGCAATTCTGAGAGAACTGGAAATCCTACCAGGTTTTATCATTGGTGACCACAATCCTAACAACATAAGATACGCAGATGATGCAGTTCTGATAGCAGACATGGAAAGGAAACTAAAAACCTCCTACAGAAGGTAGAAAAGGAGAGTTAGAAGAAGGAACTAAGCATAAACTACAAGAAGACAGAATGCATGGTCAAAAAGATGAGCATGAAATGCGATTTACAGATCAAGCAGGTGTGGAAATTTAAATATCTTGGAAGTATTCTGTCAGAGGATGTTAAGTACGATGCTGAGATCAAAAGACATATTGGGATGGCCAAAGACACATTCCAAAAGCTAGGCAGAGTATTATAAGACAGGAAGATTTTGTTCTATTTGGGTTAGGCTTTCTTCCTTTATGATCAATTATCTGACCCAAATATTCGATTTTGTTCATGCAGAAATCACATGATATCTGTCTTCTTTTATGGTAGTGAATGTTGGATGGTCTCCTCAAAGATGAAGAAGAGATTCGAGGCAACAGAGGTATGCTTCTACAGAAGGGTGCTGAGGATATCATGGACTGATCATGTGAGCAACGATGAGGTTTTGGAGAGGATGCGAACAAAGAAACTTATACTTAATATCAGGAAGAGCCAGCTTAAATTTCTGGAACATGTAATGAGAAAGGAAGGCTTGGAAAATCTGATACTCAGAGGGTGAATAGAGGGAAAGAGGGACAAGGGAAAGCAATGCATGACATACTTAAGCCCACTAAGTATGTCATGCATTGCTTTCCCTTGTCCCTCTTTCCCTCTAGCAAGTGGATGGTAGAACTGGGTTTGGGAGAAATAGCAAAAAGACAAAACTTATTGAGAGCTACAAGATGTAGGAGGAAGTGGAGAGCCATGATTGCCTACATCCTGAAGGGATATGGCACATAAAAGAAGAATGTCAGTGGTAGATATTGGTGATTATAGCAGTTAGAGATTGAATATTCCTACAGTAAACTGTACCTTTTTTGCCTTGTTACAGACAGCAGTCTGGCAAAATGGCATCTGACATGAAAGTGTATATGAAACAGATGTATCATTGAATTCTTTCATGTAATAAATATTGCACCCATTGATATTCATCAGCACTTGCTAAATATTTGCAGAGACCAAACAGTGGATATGAGCACAGTTATACAGTGAATGATGCTTTTTAGTGTTAATGATGGTGCTGTTTGTGGCAAGCCAATGTTCCAGTTAGCCCTGGACAGTTATCAACCAATGAAATTAAGAGCACTTTGAAAATGAATAATCAATGGAAGTGATTATAGAGGAAAATATATATATTTTTTATCTGAAAATTTGCTCTCTCAATTAATGTTATTGTATCTGTTGTAGTTTACATGGAAATAAAAAGAATACATTACTTTTGGAGCATTTCTTGTAAATGTTGTCAAAATATATAATCACAGTCTGTCAATATAAATTTGTAAGGTCATTCAAAAAGTTTTGATTCCATTAAAGGAGGTCTGAGGGAAAATATCCTCAGGATATTATCATTGCCTTATTATCTAGTGTTTATGTAAAAGTTATTAATTTGTTATGAACTATGTTTGAAATATGAGAAATAAATACATTTATCTTTTGAGTGTTTAAATTGTTTTTATTTTTCATTGTAGGACAACCAAAGAATCACCCTAAAGCTCCAATTAGCAGAGAGAAAAAATATCACCATAAATCAAATCGTACTAAAAAGGAGAGTCTTCGTGCCAAAAGAAGTCAATCGAGTCAGAGTCAGTTGAATCAGTCACAACTTTCTGATGAAGAAAATGAGAATGAATCTTTAGCTGCTGGTCTCCATTCTCTTTCTATTCAGGTCAGTAAGAGAAATCTTCTTTGTATAAACTTTGCATATGGTTTATTAAGTCACTTATCACTAATGTTAAATAGTAGCTTAATCTGAAGAGTTGCAAAAAAGTTTAAAATAATTTTCCAATTATTATATAATGTCCAGCTTATTTTTAATACACACAAATATAACTGTTTAAGCTCTTTTCCCAACTTAACAAATTTTCAATTGCTTAAAATATAACGGTTGATACTTCAGAGATATAAATTCTCTCTAATTGACAGTTGTATAACTGCAAATGCATAGCATGAAATTTGATGTTTATATGTTGTCATTGTTTTTCTTAGCTTAGACAAATTTATCCTTACTAAGATTTTTCATGGATATACATTTTTAAATATCTAGATGTACATTCTGATAACCAATTTTTTAATGTTTGGTAATTGAACTTCTGGAATAGAGGTTTAATTACGGTAATATATTCATTTCTTGAAACCTTATCCATTAAATAAATCATGAAAAGTGATTAAATTGAATTCATAACTGGTTAAAAATGTTTTGAAGATGGCAAATTTGAATACTTTGGAAAAAAATCTTAAATGTGTTGGCATGAAATTAAAAGAAACGCAGTTATTGAGACATAGTTTTTTTTTAAATTGTCCAATATTCACAGCAAACGATTTATTTTGTGTGTGTGTATATATATATATATATATATATATATAATGAAATGCAGGGTTCTAAAAAGAATAATAACCTGTTAGTCATAGATTAGCACAAATTCTCTACCTTGCTCAGGATGTGGGGTAAATAAGATAATTTTAAAGTAATATTTTCACTAAATTTAGAGAACCTAAAGACATACATAATGTCAATACTAACTTAGAATCAAATTATATTAATTTCTTGGAGTTTCTTTGAATATAATATTCTTTGTTTTTCTATCTTGTACAAGAATAAACACTGTTCTGTTTGCTCACATGAAAAACATGCAACATTGAGTTAGGCATTCAGGGTGATATTTCCAGTTGAATGATATTTCTTAGCTAAGACTAGTAGTTTGATTTCCATGAAGAATAACTCCCATATTTGTATTCAGGTGTAATGTTATCATCTTTTACCAAAGTGACTTCAGAAATGGCAGGATGGATCTATTGAAAATCTCCAAGCCATGAGTACAGTAATTTCTCCTATGATTCCTTGGAGATTTCTTTCTAAAATGTAATATCAAGTCCCTCCAGTGCACCTCTATGGGATATAATACATTTACTCCATACAATGAGTTTATGTTGACTAAGCATTATTGCAATCTGAACATGGCACCATTTTTTAAAAAACATTAATCTTTTGTATTTCACTGACACTGTTAACAAATGAAAATAACTATTGAAGTAAGAGCAAATAATGTTCGTTCACAAAAATCTCTCTACTTATTTTAAATACATTATCATTGAAAATTATAATTTTCATATTTACTTGTGAGCATAAATGTCAAAGGTTATTGTTTTTAACTCTTAAGAGTTAAAAACAATAAGATTTTTAATTAAATTTTAAAAAATAAGATTTTAAAGATTTTTTTTTAATTTTAATAGGTTTTAATTGGTTTAAATTATAATTCTGTTTTATTAATTTTTTATTATTTTTGTTAGCTATTGGATTTGATGCATACGTTGCACACACGAGCAGCCTCAATCTTCAGTTATTGGGCAGAAGAGGGCAACACAAGTGGTGAAAACAGTGATGGTACCATTGATGCTGGCACCAGCACTCTGTGGGCAAAATGTTGGTGTCCTTTATTACAAGGTATGTGGAACTGTCTACATTTTATCTTAAATGCCTGTACATGTAGGACAATGATTTAAAACATTTTCTGTTTTTCATGAATATTTTAAAAAAATGTTTGTCCTTTAGAATTGCTGATTGTCTTAGGACATGCAAGAAAAAACATATACTCCTGCAGTTAGAGCAGGCAAAACGACAATTTTGTTTTCATATATACATTTTTTAACACCCAAATGTTTGCGCTCAAATTGACCACTATTAAATGTTGATTTGGTCAATTAATAAGAAAATATGAACCATGTTTTCTTTTTTTTTTCCTTTTTTTCAATGATCATTAAAATTACAAAAATAGCCATTATAGTTTTTTCTGGTAAAAAGAAAAAGTAATTTCAAAAAAAAATTTAAATAATTAAAAAAAATTTTCTAGAACATATTAACATTTGGACTATTGTCCTTATCACAACATTTCAGTGTTGTGTCCTCCAGTCTTTATTAAGCATATATTGATCCAAGTAACCTACAGGGAATTCTTAGCTGAACCCTTTATTTAATCTAATTGTGTAGACTGTTCTTGTTCCACTGAACATGTATAGGAATACCTTGACTAGTTCTTATTTTGAGATATCTCTTGAGAACAACTGAAATGTTGTGATAACAACAATCAAGGTGAGGACAATAGTCTGAATGTAAATAGTGTAAATAGTGATAACTACTCCTCCCAAAATTCAGGCATAAATTCAGGATGATAGTTATTTAAATGTCTTCTCCAGTATTATAACTTTTAATTATAAGATAGATATAAAAATTCTTAACCTAAACTTAAAATTTGATCAAATGGCCAAACATCAGAACTTTTCTTTTGAACTTCTTTTTGGTTAAGCCAAAAACTTTCTAGCACATCTTTATATATTTTTCTTGAATTAATATCCAATTATTTTTTATGAATAACAAAAATTGTACCAGACAAGAATAGGTTTTCTGAAGGTGTTTGAATAGATTGGCATATGCATAGAAACTATTACTTGCCATTTTATAATTTATTGGCTCAGTTAAAAGCAAGTATGAAAATAATTACAATTTTTATTTATTGTTGATCAGTTTTTGGTTAGAAAATTGAAAATTTTCTATTTGTGAATTACAGAATTTTTTGAATTGATTTCTTTTATTTGATTAGGCATTGCTCGTTTATGTTGTGATTCTCGTCGGCAAGTGCGAAGTCAAGCTCTAACCTACCTGCAGAGGGCTCTCCTCGTGCATGACCTGCAGACTCTCTCTGCAACAGAATGGGAAGCTTGTTTCAATAAGGTAACTTCATTCATTTTATTCTCTTAATAAGTTTCACTAATTTAGTGACAGTTAAACTTATATCATTGTTCTATATAAGGAATGTTTGATAATTATTATGATATTAATAATCGCTTCTGAAAGAATAATGATTGTAAGATTGTATTCTACAAAGAATAAATAATTGTATTTTTCATTGTGCACATATACACCCACAAATAATATAAACATGTGTACATCAAATTATAAAGATTGCTACATATATACTCAGCTATGCATAGATATACATCAAAATAAGTGAATTAGATGTAGAAATAGATAAAAGGAGAATAAAATAAATTGAATTCTGTCATCTCATGTGTAACTCATTGAAAAGATCACATACACTTTGCAGAAATGTCTTTTTCATGTAAAACTTAATTTCTGTGCAGTTATAATCAAACAATATTGACAGAAAAAAAACTGATGATCAAAAGAGGTTGACATTTATAGTTTTCTGTTCATCAGCATAGGTGTGTAACTTTGATAAATTTGTATTGTACCAGTTGAATTTGAAGTTTTTGGTCTTCTCTTATCACATCTTTGAATTAATTTTGCCTATTTTTTTTTTTTTTTGTTACAGGTTTTGTTCCCACTGTTGACCAAATTGTTAAGTAATATCAACAATCAAGATCCTTCAGGGATGGAAGAGACACGAGTCAGAGCATCAACATTGTTGTGTAAAGTAAGCTCTCTACTTTGAGATCAGCATTATCTTGGACCCATTCATTAAAATCATCACAAAAGAAAAATCATATCAATTTATGCAAAGTTTAAGATATATAACCATAAATTCTTTGCTAAGTTTTTCATATTACTTAATTTTCATTTATTTCTGCTGTTTTCCTACAAAAGTATTTACACATTTAGCTTTTGAAATAAACTATTTTTATTAAAAATTTTCATTTTAAAAGAAACAAACTCCAGTTATTCTTCACTACCAACTAACCTATGTATGATTTTCATGCTCTTTAAGAAAAAAAAACGGATTTTATTTTTTTCTTACAGGTCTTCCTTCAGCACCTAACTCCTCTACTCTCTTTGAGTACATTTACAGCCCTTTGGCTCACTATCTTGGACTTTATGGACAAATATATGCACAAAGAAGGCAGTGATCTCTTGGTAAGTTTCTTAAAAGATGAAAATACTTTGTTTACAGGCACATATCAAATCTACCTTTTGGGATTAAAATATTCATTTGGGTTTTTATCATTTTATCATTACAAGCTTGACTGGAGTAAAGGAAGCTTATTTGGTATAATTTTAATATTGTATTTTTCTTATAAAATAATATGACGAATGTGAAACATACATAACACAAGTTTAAAATTTATATCATGCTCCTGCTTGTATCATTCACAATCAGAAACAATAGATGTAATTTTATATAAATTTTCATTACACTATTGCAGTGAGAAAAAAAATCTTTCTCTTTTCATTAACAGATTTGACAAAAGATTTAATGCAAAAGGTTATCAGTAACATTATTCTGAATTATTGAAACTTATCAGGTTTATAGATAAAATTCAGTTAGATTTTAGCTTAGGAGTGAAAGAAGTATAGAATGGAAATTTATTTTTGTGCCAAAATTTTTTTATATATATATATATATATATATATATATATATATATATATATATATATATTTCATGCAATTTCCTCTCAAGAATCATAGCTCTCCACAGATTCCATTTCTTTATTAACTGTGAGTTGCCAGAATTCTTGAGAATGATAGTGGAATGGTTTCCCATTGCTTTCTCCATGGTTTTGAATTCAGAGTTGTCTTTCTCCTAGAGCAAGGCTTCTGATTGGAGGGTTGAGGAGTGTGGAACCATCTCTGAATTACTGGTGTTCCCAGTTCCACTAGCTGACCTGAGGTGGTAGCACCTGTTAGGGTCCCAGCTATGAGCAAATAGTTGACCTCCAAACATGGGGTCAAAACACTGTGGAGGTGTAAAAATAGGTATTAATACCAGCAATACATTTTTGAAGGAAAAATTATTAACAGCAATACATTGTTGAAGAAAGAGTGATTACCAGCAATATAGTTTTGAAGGAAAAATTATTACCACCAATATATTTCTTTGGAAAAAATATTATCGGCTATACATTTTTGGAAAAATATCAGCAATACATTTTTGGAAAAATATTACCAGCAATAGATTTTTTAAATATTATCAGAAATAGATTTTTGAAGGAAAAAAAAAACATTACCAGCAATACATTTTTGAAAAAAAAAAAATTATTACCAGCAATAAAAATTTTGTTGGCATTAAATAACCCATTGAGGTTGATATACCTTAAAACAAACCAAATTAACCAATTCTTCTCAACTGGCTGCTACCAAAGGCTAGAAAACTGTCTACTGCTATTAAGTTATAGCTGGGTGGTGGGAGAAGAGATGTTAATGCTTTTCCCAAGGAAAAGTGAATGTAACAGATTAGAATTTGAATTTGGCTTGCCATAACCAATTACCATATCAATAACATTTACACTGCCCACACATTAATACATGTTGAGAATATGGAAAAAGGCATACAGTTTTATTGTTTCACTTATTTCATTAAAATTTATATTGTAAACTATCATGATAGATAATTTCATGGTTGTCTTCTTACAGTCTGAAGCTATACCAGAATCCTTGAAAAACATGTTGTTGGTCATGGACACAGCAGGAATCTTTCAACCAGACACCACTGACTCCCAATTGTGGAAACTTACTTGGGATCGTATTGATACCTTTTTACCTCATCTGCGAGAAGAATTGTTTAAGCCTCAAGAACCAGGTAAAATTTAGTTCTTATCTGAAGGAGAAAAAGTGTTTAATACACACTCAGTGATGTAAGATTTATTTTCATATTTTTATCATTCACTTTGTTTCATTTGATGATATCCAGAATTTTTACTGCCTTTTTTTTCTCTGAAGACAATCTAAGTTAGTTTGATTGGTTTTGGAACCATGTATAATGATTGCATAAAAGTTCTTCACCCAATATACTTCTCTAAATCTTAGTGTTTCTTTGTCTTTGTAGCTGGAAACTGTTCTTTTATAGTGTAAAATATCAATTTGCAGACTCTTTTCACTTTTTTTGAATTTGTTTCGGATCTATTAACCAAATCAATAGAAAGTCATATTTTCAAGTGTTGAAATCTAAGCTTTCACAAAGTTCCTGTTACTGTAGATGAAAACTCCAAAGGAAATCCATAAATGTTGGATGCAAACATTGAGTGAAAGTCCCTATCATATTCACCTGTGAATAAATGGTGTGCTCATGTTGTGTGGAGATTTTGAAACTCAAGACCTTGAATAGGGTCAGCTCCTGAAATTGATGATTATGCTCATGACCTAATATGGACTGATCAATAAATCTTTGCTAAAAGAATGGCTGAGATACTTAAAGATATCCAGAGAATGCATTTGGGTTTATAATTCATGAGTAGTTGGGTAAGAAGCTGCTGCCAACCATGTGGGTATCAAAAAATTTGAATGCCTAATAGAAATGATATCTACTTGATTTTACAGCATTTTCAACAATCTAGTAATCCTTTTTTGGAATGACTTGTCATTGTTGATGAAACAGGTTTACATCATTATGGTATGGAGACCAAATGGCAGTTCACACATTAGCTGAATTTAAGTTCTCCACAGCAGAAGAACTTCAAGACCCAAAAGTCAGCAAGAAAAGTCATGTTCATGTTTTTTGAGATAAGTGAAGGTATTTTGACTTCAGAAGGAGCAAATTCCTAATGCAGAATGTACCACTCTAAGTTGTATACACTCAAAGATTTTGCCAACAACAAATCTCCAAGTTTTGACCATAACAACATTACTATGGAAAGATCCTCTCCCTAGTGTTTTGCAAGCACACATACACCATTCACTGCCTTGAGCTTGCTTGAAGGGTGGAATAGTCCCTATCCAAAAAAGGGCCATCTAACAAGTGTGGCAAACTATAGGGGTATAACTCTCATGCCAATTGCAGCAAAAGTTTACAATAAGCTTCTGTTAAATAGGATTGTCCCTACCATTGAATCACTCCTCTGCAAGAACTACAATGGATTTAGAAGAGACAGGTTGACAACTGTTCAATTACTCTCCATTCGCTGCATACTGGAAGAAATGAAAAAATTCAACAAAGTGGTCACAATCTCTTTTGCTGATTTACGCAAGGCATTTGATTCCATCAGCAGAGATCTCATGTTCAAAATCCTCCAACTCTATGGTATACCTTCCAGAATTGTTGATGCAATTAGAACTCTGTACAGAAACACCACTGCCACCATTGTATTGCCTTGATGGTGAGACTGATTCCTCTCGTTAAAGCAGGAGTTCTACAAGGCAACACACTTGATCCTTTTCTGTTTATAGTTGTTCTGGATTATGATCTGTGTATTTCTCTTGACAACATAGAGGACTAAAGGATTCCATTTGAAACCTCACCAGAGCAGACAGTACATTCCACAACAACACCTGACTGACCTTAACTTTGCCGATGATTTTGCATTAATTTCTCAGTGTAACCTTGCTACATTCACTTGAGCAAGCAGTGAACCAGGTAGGTCTCTTTTGCAATGAGAATAAGACAGAATACATCACAACCTCCTCTGAATTATCCGATTTGAAATCACTCAATACATCTATCAAAAGTCTTGAGGACTTCAAATATCTTGGATATCACATCATACATTTCCAAAAAGACTTCAGCATCTGCAAACATCTTGCATGGGATGTGCGTAAAAAACTTGACAAGATTTGAATCTGAATCTTCATCCTCCTTAAAAGTCCAAACTTTTCAAACATTTATTGAACCAGTCCTATTGTATTGATCAGAATCTTGGACATTATCTATTTGTCTTGAAAGACAACTGGATGAAGCATATACAAATCTACTAAGAAAAATCCAGAACATCATGCAACACTTAAGAGAGAACCAAGACCAATTTCTCTTAAGCTCAAACAAAATCGTCTACAGTTTGCTGGCCACTGCCACTGAGTGGACAGGGAGTGGACAAGACATCCTTACTCTTATGGCATCCTTCTGGAAGTGTTTTCTTATGGAAATTGTCTTTCCCGGACACCATAGCTTGAGACTCGGGGTTGAACATTGGGGATTAAAGGTGGCCTTGAAAGAAAAACAATGAAACAATCTGTGGAGAGGTGTTCTCTCACAGCAGAATAACACACCTGCTCACAGAGCTGACAAGATGATGAATGTTTTGGAGAATTTGATGTTTGAGTGCATAGACCATACACACTACACAAGATTTTGCGCAATTTCTAGTTTATGAATCCTAAATGGAATTTGAAAGGGAGAAAATTTTCAAATAATTCAGAGGTGATAGCTATAGTAATGCTGTATTTCATTGACCAAACCTCAGAATTTTTTTGAAATTTGGTTAAAGAAATTGATAAATGATGGTCCAAGTGTGTTGAAGTGAATATGTAGAAAAGTATGTACATTTCATGGTGGCCTATATCTCATCCTTTTCTTGGTCAGACCAATAACTTTTCACCATCTCTTTGTTTTCTTATGTGCTTAAATTAATGATTAGTTGATTAGAATATCACAAATAGATTTAACTTTTCAAAAAAATTATTTTAAAAAGAATTTTTTAAAATTTGTGTATCAGTAATGTGAAATAAAAATGTACTTATATTTTTCTTTATTGAAAACTTATGACACTTTGTGTCTCTTTGAATTTTTGCATGAGATGATTGCATAAAATAAAAATATATTCTTGTGATATTAACTAAGTGAATAAATCTCATTAAATTTTGATGTTTTTGTGTTTCGACTTCTCTACATTGTATTTTGGATTCTTGTATGTTAATTTTTAAAAACATTGTATTTCAGTTTGTGTTCCAGATTCTTCAAGAAAAGTTGAACTTAGCAGTGGTATCAGCTTGGAAAAAGTTGTAGTTATTCCTAATGATGAAATACAACCAGTGCAGACTGCAATGCCACCTTCACCAGATTCTCCAAGTTCTCAAACTTCTGATAGTGGTAGGCTTTTTTTTTTTTTTTCCTAAGTAGATTTTCAATACACTGAGGTTATAATTGACACTAGTTTAAAATTGGATTCTTATAAATCTTTAGTAAATTGGTAAATGAAAATCTAAAATAATTAAGTAGTAACATTTTTCTAACAACACCATGACTGAAAAATAGAGGCCATGTAAAAGTATCTCTTCTCCCTTAACAAAGTGTTAAAATTAAGTTTTGTGACCACTAATTTTATATGGTGCTAAAATCTGCAATCAGTTTACTTATATATTCATTTTCTGTCAATTCATGTTTTGTTCAATTTTCAAATTTTCTATTACTATTTCTCTTGATCTCTATTATAATATGGTTTTCTTGAAGAAAGTAATGGCATTCTGTATACATCTATGCTGGAACATTCTGTATACATTTATGCTGCTGTGTTCTTTATGATAACTCTACATGCTTATTATATTCAAATATCATAATATCTGAAACACAAGTTTCATACTTCAAATAGACTGAATTTTTTTCTAAGGATTAGATGCTGTGATTCTTTGTCACAATTATCATGGGCAATTCTTAAATCGGTAGTAGAGAATCTCTTCTAAGATTTTGATCCTCTTGTTCTTGACCATGACATGAATTTAAGGTTCCACTATTAAAACTGACCTCTTCTTTGTGATCATCATCATCCTTGATTGTTTCTATTGATTCAACCTTAGATCTGATCTGACTTGATTTGCATGACCTAAAGCACCAAGTCCATTTCTTGAAATGAGAGTTTTCTTGTTACCAGCTTGCATAGACACCATTTGCACTTTCTGGGGCTGAATTTTACTTTTATTTTTTTATATACCACATCTGCTCATACATGAGATGAGTCATGGTCAAGAGTGTATGAATTTGATGTACCCTCATGAAAGCACATGATGGATTTTGTTTTTTAACCTTTAAATGATTGTATGGTAGCTAAACAATAAATGAGGTAAAAGTGATTCTCAATTATTCTTTTTTGTGGAAAAAGAATGGTCATAACACCATTTTAATTGTTTGAACCATTCATCAGATAAGATTTACAACCAATTTTCTGGAGTTAACAACATTGATTTTCATGATGAAATTTGAGAGGATTGTTGGACACAAGACTTTAGGCAATCCATTGCAAGAGAAAATCATTTGTAAAACTTGTTTTATAGTAGAATTTTTTTTTTTATTAGGAAAACAACTTCTGATCATCCTAAAAAAGAACCCTAGTGATGCAAAGATCAATCCATTCTTATCTACATGTGCATAATTCATATGTCCTAACTCAATATCATGATGATGTTAATGTTAAACTCATTCAGCACAAATTAATTTTTTTTAAATTTATAAACTCATAGGAAATTATTTTTTTTTAAATAAAAATTAAATTTTCCTTTAATTTGCATTTAGAAAACAAAAATGTTCAGGTGATAAGTATTAGCAGCTTTTGGTTCTATTATATTAGAAATGTTGATATTACAAAAACATGATATCATTTGATGTATCAAGTGAAATATTTTGCCAATTGTAATTGTTTTAACACTTTGTGCTCTATAATAATAATGATAATAATGGCACAAAGCTTTGATAAATTGCATTTATATAGTTTCATCTTCAATAATTTGTATAACGCTGCACGATGTCCTTGTCCCTGTGCAGTCTCATCTTCAGACACTGGGTGCATCCGTGATTGAATACTGTGGCTAACTGTTGAGTTGGTTACTTTGATCCAAGCCTCTCCTTGTCCCAAGATGTGTTTGTTTTGATCACAAGTCAGGCAAGGATCAAATCGTTGCCAGATATCACTGGATTGGTGTCATTCAGGTGAGACGATATTATAAGACAAAAAAAAAGAAGAAAAGTTGTGTAGATCAACAAGATTTATATAGCTGAGCTTTATACATGAACACTTTTTCATATAAGAACCTACAAGCATGCAGGTTAATGACCATTCCTTTGTAGACTAATTTTGTGACACTTTGTTCTTCGTTTCCAAGTCAGTCAGGTTTCAAACTTTAAGTTGTAGACTTCATCAGGCAGTAAATTATGGAATGCTGACGAAGCACTCGTCTCCATCCTTCTCTCTCTCTCTGTCATTGTATAAAGACTTTCAATTCTTTCACTTTGCAATTTTGTCAGGACACTCTGCTCAATTTATCTAATAGTCTGCAACAAGGCATGAGCCAGGAGTTCTCTGTGGCAGCAGGTCACATGGGGATCGGCAAAGTGATAGTCTCCTGGTGTAATGGAAGCACTTTTCTGCTTCAGCTGCTACTCATAATTCCCCTCTGATCTAACACTTTTATGGACCCTCACCCAACATCAGGGTGGGGTCCGACATGATCTGGAGTTCCAGGATTTTCCAAATATCCAATCAGTCCTCACTGCTGACACTGTCCTGGGAAGCAACTTGCATGTTAAAATTTGGGGAATCCCTCCTTTGAAGAGTAGTTGTAGCAGTGCATCGATCTGCCCCACTTTCTCCTTTCTTCTCTGATTCATACCTTATACCAACATCCCTCAATGAGCTTAGTCTATTTTCTCCAACTCTCTCTTGTTCACAAATCGGGGTCCTTCGACTGTATGGCATGATTAGCACTAAAATTATCTGTCTCAACTTCACATCATCAGAAATGCCCTTTGTGATAAAATTTTGATATTTTCCAGAATTTTCCCCTTGGACAATTGTAATTCTTGCCTTGTCTTCAGAGAATCCTTGTTCAAACTGTTATCTTACGAATTGACAGAATTCTTCGTCATTGTTTTGTATTGTGACATGCACACCTTCCACCCCTTCAACAAGTAACATGGAATCATTTCTTTATCCTCTTCTTCACAACTTGTAACCATAAAAATTATCTGTAGCTGGCTTGTTGCTCTCTGTTTAGACTCACCAATACTGGTTGCCTTGTGCATGTTATGGCACTTCTCCACATTGATTCTTCAGCTTCACTTTAGCCAGATGCCAAGTGCATTTCAGCACTATCTTCTAGCAAGGCCTTTATTCACAAAATGAGAGAATAAATAAAAGTATATATTTCTTTGTTTTTGGTATATCCTTCAATCTATTTACGACCCTTTTCACTTTTGTGTTCACTTAGATTTAATATAAGCCTTTTCTCTCTTCAAATTATTAGCATTCCGATAGTGTCACATTTGTTCTCCTTGACCCAAATTGTCAAATTCATAATATTTAGATTCATTGTGAAGATTATGTAAACATTTTATAATATTTTCACAAGGTTCCTGACATAAACAAATCAATTTTGTCATTTAAGCTCTAAACAATTTTCTTTTTTTCATTCATATTATTCATTATTATCATTCACTTATTTTTAAATGAGTCATTATGGACACCTGAACATCATATCCAATAGAAATAAATTTGTTAGATTTTTTGAATATCAGATTGGAATTTTCTTCTCTCCATCTTCATCCTTAAAGGTTATTGGATATAGGATGCTTTATTGGGGGCAGGGGATGCTGACAAACACCCAAGCAACCTATGTCACCCTCACTTCTCCCAGTAGGCCTTCATATATGAACAAGCTTTTCTTGGTACCTACAGTCACAGACTGGTATGATATTTCTGGTCCAAGGAGGAATTATGTTGCTTTGAATTCTGGATAGACAGGACATGTACACTTGGTGGATCACACCTGTATCTTTTCTCCTAGATTATTTGTCCCTTCATTAAGGATGCTGGAGTTAAATGTTTTCTAGGTTTTGGTGTTATCTGCTTAATAGTCAAGGATCCAAACCTTTGAGTAACTATCAGCAGGTGTATAATATAGGACTATTGTACTGCCATTTTCCGAATGGGTTCTGGATCATGCAGTAATCTCCAGTGGGGCCTCTCAATGCCATGATGAAGTCTTAACACTGCTGGGCACTTCAGATCATTCTCCAGTCAGTGTCAAAGTTGATGTTAAACCAAAGGCATTCCATGATATACTGTTCCATAGAATGATCTTTCAGTACATGACAAGAGTGGGACAGCTTCACATCTTTCATGGCAGAAGCTCTCCTCTCATCCTTCTTCACTCTGCTCCCAAAAGTGCTGTCCTTGTATCAGAATAGATAAGTTCCTTTAATGATCTTTTTCCAGTGTGGCATTGGCTTTATCTAATGGAACTTTATTGAAGATGTTAAGATTTTTATGGTTTGAATATGTGCTTCTTTAGTTTAAATTTGGGACAAAAGTTGGAAGAATATATTATTGCAAACATGTTCATTTAAGAATGCAACAAGCTTGAAGTAAAAATAAATTCACATTGCTAGAAGCAAAATTATAAGCAAATCCACATTCCAGTGGGTAGTGATGACCTAGAGGAAATCCTCATGACATTTGACCTGCAACATGTTTTTTTTTTTTTAAAAAGCAGTGTTTGCTTAGTGATATAAATTCTTTTTGTTAAACATTAACTATTTTAAACTATAGATATAACTTATTTTGGACATACCATCCTGAATATGGCAATGCAAGTGGCTGATAAAAGTTAATATTTAGTTTTCATCTATTGTATGTGTTTGTAACTTTTAGGATTAAAAGATCTGTAAAAAGTGCATATCATAGACAAATACTTTTGGTAGTTTCATTACTTGTTATCTTAATTATTGCTGACAAGAATGTGATTAGTTTTTTATATAATCAAGTAAAGAATTCTTATTTTGGTAGTCAACAATTTAAATTTCAGTTAAAGAGGGAAATAATTTGGATTTATTGATGAAGCAGTTTAAGGCCCTTCTCCTTTCCCATATTTTTTGATCCCTACTAATTTGTCTGATTTTTTTTTTCTATAGATTTTATTGTATTTTAAATAGTCTCTTAAATAGAAACCAGTCTTAACATCAGCTTCATTTAAAAGGTTTTCATAAACCAAATTTAATTAGCATCATCCCTTGAATTTTCTTGGTTAAATAAATAGGAATTCATGTCTTTTTTTTTCTTTACATTTTTCACAAATTTGTTTGCGTTTTTATTTTCAACTATAGGCATTGGTAAATCCCCCAGACCAAGTAGCCCTTTGGTCAGTGAAACCAGCTCACCAGTGACTTCAACTTATATTCTCCATCCTCCATTACCCAGTGTGACTGCTCGCAATAGTTCAACTACAGACACAATGACAGTGAGTTGCGGTACTACATCACCTACTGCCACGGCTAGTACAGTACCTTTGTTACTCAATCCTGACATTATGCAGGGTACCACTATACCATTTATCTCTCCACAGGTAAGGTCATTCATTATATGATTGCTATCATTGAATGGTGCGATGTTCTGCCACCTTTGCAGGGTTTCCATTTCTCCAGATTAGACTAACTGTAATCTCATTTTCAATCACCATTACCTTATTTATTTTTTATCATCTGGGAATTAAGCAAACAAATTTCTAAAACCAATATTTTACCCATTATTTTGCAAAAAGAATATTAATAGAAAAAGAAGTATTATTTTATCATAAATAATAAAATTCACAATACTTAATGAAGGTCAACTCTGAGTTTCATGATTTGTATATATCAATAGCTAGCATTATTATCATTATTATTTTATGTTATTTTATAGAAAAAGTAATGTAATGTTTACAGAAACCTTATCACATTTTGTTATTAATGAGATGAGTTTTTAATGATAGAATCATTATAAAATGTATTTTTATAATTTAATGGGTTATGCACAGCTTTGTATATCTTTTGGACACTTGTACAACCTTGATATCCTAATTGTACTTTTGTAACTAAAAGCATTTCTAGGAGTAAATTTGATATAAACTAATGATTTCCTTTAATAAAGTACTTATAAAACTTGACATTATTCTATTTCAAGTGCAATAGAATATTTTAGTGTTTTTTTTTTTTTAACTAGCAGCCTCATTTTGTTGTTTTTATTACAATGTCTAAGATCAAGACACTTCAAACCTCTTCAGGCCTCTGTTGATTTCAGTAAACTTTCAGAAATTTTAAATTGAACTCAGGGGATTATATTGTTGTTATATTTTTCTTTCTGTCCTGTCTAGCTGATTATATGGATTTCATAAAATCATCAATATAATTCAATAAGGAAAAAGAAAACAATATATTTATTGCTAAGAAAAAGACTGTCCATTGTTTGCAATTTGAGAATAACTCATAAATTACAACTTTGACATCTAAATAACTTGATTCCTAGTTCTTTTTAAAGAAACACTATTGGGAGATAACTATTATATCCATAGCATAAATGTTTTTCAGCTAAGATGTAGTTTTGGAGCAAACAAAACTTTAAAAAAAAAATCAACTACATTCCATTGTAGGCATTTGAGAGAGAATTTAGAGAATCTGCAGGTTGTAAATTGTAGGGACAATATTTTGAAATAGCCCATTATTACTCACATCTATATACCACTCCATGCAGTGAAAAACCTAATTACTTAGCATTGTCCTGGGCATGACATTAAATTGCATCTGTATCCTGGGCATGGTGTTAAACTGCATTTATATCTTGGGCATGATGTCCACATCCAGGGCATGAAGTTAAACAGCAAGCATGGATTTTTTCACAAAACAAGTTCAACTATGTCCCTGTGTAGGGCATTAAACTACTACCAGGTATAGTATAGGAAGCAAGATCAATTAGAAACTAATTGTTTGTATGAGGAAAACTTCACCTACATGTTGTCAGCTTATACGATAAACATACAACCTATCCGTTTATACCTAGGATGGTGCTTTCAGGAAAAATAATATAGTTTTTCTGTAGCCTTCTTCTTTGCCAATCTGTCTGATGTCTAAGCGATCATCTCTTGTCACCAACAGCAATTCGAGTGGCTACTGTCTTGGTCGCTTTGATCTTCTGCTTATATGGACTCCCACTTAACACCAGTTTAGAGTCTGACAGGGTTTCAGTAAATCACTTAACTCTTACAAAAATCCCTTTGTCATCTAACTCCATAAAATTAATTGCATGCCCAATTTTGGGGAGATCCCTCCTCTTAAGAGTAGTGGTAGCAGAATATCAATCCACTCTAATTCTTTCCTTCTCATACTAATACTGCCCAAGAGGCGTAGGCAATTTCTCCGCACCCCTTGGTATTTCACTTGAACCCTTCACTTCAGTTGTCATTTTAACAAACTTGATTTTTAAACTGTGTAGGTGAACAGGTGTGGCTTAGCTAGCTCCAAATCATTAATTTTTAATTATCATTCAAAATTTTCTTCAATGGAATACCTCGGCCCAAACCTCATTCCCTTCAGTTGGATATTCACTAGCCATTTCCTTGACAGCCTTTTTAGCAAATTTCAACTTGTAATACTTGGGATTCAGTTTCTATCCAAAGAAATTTCATTTCCTTAGTAATCTATGCCTTTCACTCTTTTTGACAAGTAAATCAATTCTCTTAACTTCACCTTTGTTCCTCAAAACCTTAAAAGCGACAGCGCGTCGTGTATATCCCACGATGGAAAATGTGGCGAAAAAGAAAATTTCTTACTAAAAAAAAGGGCATGTATTACGCATGACATGCTGAAGATGGAATATGTAAATTAAAAACAAGTCCATCGCAAGAGTCGCTGTAAAAGTATTTTGATATGCAAAAATTGGGTGTCCTCTCCCAGTTGTTGACGTGATGGAAAAATGCTCAGCCGATAAAAGCAGTTATGTGTTCTCGAATCGGGAAGAAAAATTTGGGCATTTTGGCTACCACATTTGTCAGAGAGTGAGTTATTTTTTCTGACTGGTTGTGTGCATTGCGATTTGTGAGATAGTACTTGCGAATTGAGTTTTCGTCATTTCTTTCTGCCTCTGATGTTTGAATCTAAACTTAGTGATTTATTCTCTGCGTTGTGGAAGTAATCTGCGACAAATATTTCCTTTGCAATCCCAGATTGCTTACAAACTCTTATAAACAATCCACGAGACAGTATAAAAATGCCGAAATGGAAAGTGACAATGAAATATCAGGAAAAAAAAAACAATTTCCAATTTTCATAGTCATAGAATCATTAGAGGGTGAAATATCATATCACCTTTTGTGTTACAAAAGTTATATCAGCCATGATAGAACCAAAATCAGTAAAAAAAAATAACGAAAAATAACGCACTAATTCAAGTAAAAATGAAAAAGACGTAGAAAACATAGTAAAACTCAATGAAATAGACAACATGAAGGCTTAACTGCACAACTTCTTAACTCCTCTAAGGATGTAATAAAATGCTCAGAACTGTCACTCTGCTTACTGGAAGAAATTAAAAATGATGACACCTTAAAAAATCAAGGTGTAACAGATTTCAAAAGAATACAATTAAAAAAAAAAAAAAAAAAATGGCACATCAATAAATGCAAACACATACATTTTGACATTCAACAAACCTACCCTACTGAAAGAAATAAAAATAGGATACACAATATCCAAGGTAGGGCCATACATCCCTAAACCCATAGATGTTACAAATGTCAAAAATTTGGTTATCTACAAGATCAATGTATGAGAGTATCAGTCAGTCGAAAATGTGGGGAATTTGAGACTGATCATGAAGAGTCACCCTGTGAAAGGCCTCCTTTATGCTCAAGCTGTATATTCTAAAGAGTGTAACACCTGGAAAAAGAAAAGCAAATAATAAGAATAAAATACACACAAAACATTTCATTCCAAGAAGCTAGAAAACCAGTTGAAACTCACTTCCAACATCATATGCAAATATTACTAAAATAGCAAATCACCAAAATGACATACAAGAGAGCAACACAATAAGAAACCAAGAACTTACAACTCTAATAAATGAATTAAAAACTAATAGAATTACTAAAATTTAGTATACCACACATCCGACCAGACTCAAACAAAAACTAATCTATAAGTACAAAATGAATATCTCTGAAAACCCCAATCCAAAGTACAAAAATCCTTCAAGAAATAGAACCCTCCAAACATTTACAAGAGAATCAAAAAGTTCATAAAAGAAATAACACAACCCAGTAATGAAGAACCAAGAGAAATGGACATAGATGAACAAAACTCACTTCAAATAATGGAACAGTCATCATCCAGACAAAGATTGTCAAAAGAACCTAATGGAAAATCAAATCAAACATGACCAAACAAACCAGCAAAAACGAAAGGTCTCTGAAGAACAAAACATGACAAGAAACAAAGTGCTAACAGACCAGAGAGCATAGAAATTGTGGACATTTCACCCACAAAACATAAACTGGACAAGCCAAAACTCGTAACAATGCCCTTATGCAGAAGCATGATAAAAAAATTATATAGTGGAATTGTTGAAACCTAAAAGCAAACATAAATGAACCACTCCTATTCATAACAAATCAACTTCCCACCATCATTTGCCTTCAAGAAACTTTCCTAAAACTAAATGGTAATAAAAACTATATATAAAACGATATAAAAAAAAAAAACTATATCTAAAACGATATAAAATAAAAAAAAAAAAAAACTATATCTAAAACGATATAAAATAAAAAAAAAAAAAAAACTATATATAAAACGATATAAAATAATAAAAAAAAAATATATAAAAAAAAAAAAAAACTATACTCAGTATAACTACATACATGACACTCAACAAATAGCATATGGGGATATATCAATCCTAATCAGAAATGACCCCCCCCCAAGCAAAATACTTCCAGAAACCAATCTACAAGAAGTTGCTGTAAAAACTACCCTACATAGAACCATTAACATCTGCTCTGTTTACATTCCACCTCATGACCCTATAAAAGAAACTGATCTAAATAAACTAATAGAAAACTATTGAAACCATTTATAATATTAGGTGACTTTAATAGTCACAATGTTATATGGGGACCAAGAACTCTGACAAAAAAGGGGAAAAACCTGGGAAATGTAATTAACAACAATGACATGTTTACTCTAATACATATCTACACCCTGCATCAAGTACGTACTCAGCTATTGACCTATCATTGTATGACCCCTCTTTTTTTTTTCTTATGGGTTACAGCTGGTAATGTACACAATATAATGTTACACAATGATTCATGTCGTAGTGATCACTACCCAATTATACTGAAGAGTTCAGAACCAATTGAAAATAATCTCCCTTGATGGAAACTAAACAAAGTAGACTTGCAGGAATATAAAAACCTATGCTCTCAAAAACTAACAGACAAAGATGACAAAAAAAAATTCTATTGAATATTTCTCTGAAATATTAATAGCAATTGTGAGAAGATGTATATTGAAAAAACACTAATATTAAAGACCATGTTTCAATGAAGATTGCAAAAAGGCAATAAGATTACTTATTAGAGCAGCACTACAAAAATTTAATACCCAATCTATAACCCATAATTTAAATCTATTCCAACTAAATGAAGCAAAAGCTTGCAGAACCATCTGCTACAGATCCAAAAATATGCACACTGCAGAATGACAACTGCAAGTGTGCCTAAATAAATTAAACCGATGGACTATCGAAAATGGTTTCAAGTTCTCCCAAACCAAAATAAAGTGTATCCAGTTCTGCAATCTGAAAAAAATGCACAATGATCTATCTCTTAAACTTGAAGGAACAGAAATTGAAATCACTGACCAACATAAATGTTTTTGATAAAAAAACTTATTTTTATCCTCTACTTAAAAATACATAAATCAGAAATGCTTCAAAGCAATTACAATTACTACAGGTTGTGACTAACACTGAATGTGGAGCAGATTGAATATCACTCTTGAAATTATATAGAACTCTAATAAGAACCAAATTGGAGTATGGATGTTTCATATATGGGTTGACCTGGAAATCCTACCTAAAAACCCTTGACCCCATCCACCATGCAGAATTGAGACTGACTTTGGGTGCCGTCAAAACATCACCCATAGAAAGTTTATATGCTGAAGTCCATGACGCATCATGAAAATTGAGATGAGAAAAACTGGCACTACAATATTATCTAAAACTCAAATCCTGCACAACTTACCCTGCCTATGACTAATTTTAACCCTAAATACAAAAATCTATTTGATATAAAAGAAAATGCTATCAAACTTTTTGGCCTTTCATGGAAATCATCAGCAACACTAATAAATCCAATACTAATTCATAAAACCACCATCTCAAAAAACCCACCCTGGTTAATAAAACACACTACAATACTACTAAACCTTTCTAAATACCCTAAAATTAATACCTACATGGAAGAAATCTATAATGTTCTACAAGCACACCCAAATTATAAACACATATATACCGATGGCTCTAAAATCTTGGGCAAAGTTGGGTGCTCTGCTATACTTAACAATATAACAATGCAGAAATGATTGCCTGATAAAGCCTCAATCTTCAGTGAAGAAGTCTCAGCCATTTATGTGACTTTAAATATTATAGAATTCAGTGGGTCAGATAGATTCATCATCTCAGATTCACTATCTGTACTCACATCACTTTATAATAAAAACATGGGAAACCCCCTTAAAAAATTACTAAATAGGATTGGCATTATTTATAGGAAAAAAAGATGCTGTAATAGTCTGATGCTGGATACCAAGCCATATTGGCATACAAAGAAGTGGAATCGCTGACAAAATGGTAAAGGAATCTTAGAACATGGCCCTCTCAAATGTAAAAGTTTAACACACTGACTTCCTATCTACCATAAACATGACCATTAAAGAAAAATGGCAGCATTTATGGAACAACTGTCAAAGCAACAAATTACTCAACATCCAACCAATCATCAGTGAAAGACAGCCAAGTTACAGAAAGATAAGGAGAGAGGAGATGGTACTAGCCAGACTCTGTATAAGACACACATTCATAACCTATTCAATTAAAAAAATGAGGAACTGCCAGTGTGTGTCTCATGCCAGGAACCATACACTGTTAAATACATAATACTAAATTGCTATAACTTGCAGCAATTCCAAAACAAATACTACAAATCGGATAACTTAAAAGACCTATTTGAAAATATTGATCCAAGTAACATCATAAATTTCATTAAAGAGATTGAGCTCTACAGGAAAATATAAAAAAACTCTACCAAACCTGCTTTCAGAAGAATTTTTCCCCTATGTAATTCCCTGCTCTTGAAAAAAAGTAACTCTTTATTCACCTGAAAGCCTTTTTTGGCATTAAATGATCCACCTAGGTTGATGTGTCATAAAACTAATTAATAAATCTAATTATGAAGCAAAGTATAAAAATGAATATTTTGTAGGAGTTTTTACTTAGAAAAAAGCATGAGGTTTATGGCTCCCAAATTCCACTTTGACCTAATGGATCATGGCAGGGCCGGAGCTAGGGTCTCAGACCAAAAGGACCCACCTCCCGAATTTTTAATATGCAGCCTCACTCTCTACAACAAAGTTTCCCAACTTGGACACCCACAAATCTTTAAAGGAAAATTGTGAGGAAGAGCAGCACTTTTTTTTAAATTACCAAAAATTAGTGAATTAACCAATTTAAATGAAAATGTCAGTACATATTCAATGATTATTTACTTTAATAATGAATAGGTTTTTTATTTTAAAAAAATCTGAGAAAATGTTATTCTTTTGTAATAACCATCAATATTTTCATGACTAAATTTTATTGAAATTAACACTTCTGCCTCTCATCCCCAGTAGGCATGGGACAACCACATGGTTGAGAGGTTTGGGTAATAAGCACTAGCACTGTCAATTATTATAGTTGAGGATTGACAACTTGGGTAGAAAAAAAAGTAAAAAGTACAAAAAGCAAAAAAAATATGCTGTCGAAAGTAGTCCTTTTGAGGCTCCAACCTCATCAGGGGTTCCAGCATAATACACACTGCAACGGCCCTGCAGATACATGATGTATATTATTAGTTGATGACTGACAATGTAATGTTTGTTTAAAAATAATAATAATAAAAATGGCAGATAGCCATAAAACAGTGGTGAAAAAAAATTGCCAGAGGCCACAATGGGGCCCCCAAAAATACAAGGACCACTCCTGGTTGAGAGTTTCAGGAGTAAGACGCACTGGCCCTGGATCATGGACTAATTTGTGCTAGACAGTGTAGTAATTTTTTAGCTCCAAGAACAGTGTGGCACTATATAGTGGAATAATTAGCAGTTATGAATTCAAAAGAATTCTGTGGTTGACAAAAACTAAGAGATTAGAAAAATATTACCATCAGGTAATGAAAATGAAGGTTCTGTTGAAAATCATCTAAAAGTGCACATCAATTGAAATACTATGATAAAAACAATAAAAGAAGGTGCTAATCTGAAACGATCATTCTTAATAGTGCCTCATAAAAATACATGAGAAGATAACAGAATCAAAAGGTAATCATGTACTTAGAAAAATTTCCACTTTTTAATATTATTTTCAAACTTAGATTTCAAATCATAGTTAGGCAAACAATGTCAGAAGAGAAATTTTAATGAAAATGTTTTTACATCATATAATTGTATTTTTTTTTTTCTTGGGTTATTTGGATTTTTAATGACATTTTCTTATCACTCACTTTTTTTTAGGTAGAAAACTTCATTTATTTACTGATGATATTTTTCAAGACATTACATTTATTTTTGAATTTTCAAGATATTACATCTTTTATACAGTCTTGAATATTAAATTGCCATATATTTTTATTACTTATGCCTATAATATGTTTTCTATTTATAATCTCAAATAGATTTTTATTAATTTAGCTTTTGTTCAGCTTCAGTTTCTTTCAATTTGCTAATCATTAAGTACAGAATGTAAAGTTGAGATAATTTGTAATCATCCTATCCTACTCATTTTAACTAATGTAAAGAAGAATCCTTTTTATACATTTGTCTGTTCATTTTTTGATTTTATCACTTCTTTTAAGTTTTAATTTACCTTCTTTTCCTTGTTAACATTTCATTCTTATATATCAGTATATATTTCTTTCAGATGAAGAGACAAGCAAATTATACGAGTGAAACCCAGTCTGCAATGGATATTCACTAACAAAATATGGCTTACAACTTGCCCACTGGACTCTGATATTTTGGTGGTCTTCCTTGTTGTTATTGATGATGATGATGTCATTGTTATTTCTTTTTGGGGGACACTGACTGACCAACATAGTCCTGCCTATAGACTATGTATGGGGTTCAGCAATCTTATGAGCTGACTGCAGTGAACTTGGGAGCAGTGGTGAATTTCTTTGACCTCTAACCTTAGAGGATTTGAATTCTATGGATTTTTGCTTGCAGAATCAACAGCAGCAACAACTACGAATAAAAATTTCAATCAGTGAAAGCAAACTTATAAGTATAAATAAATGTATAAAATAAAAAAAAAACAAACATTGTAATATGATCTTCACTGACTGCGGAAGTTTGGTTATTTGTGAATCATTTGGGCATCTAGAATCATATCTAGCTGTCTCCTTTTCCACTTTTGGATTTTAGTTGTTCATTTTCAACAAAAAAGAAAGCATAAAAAAGATATTGCTACATCTTTGTTACCTGTTTATTATTCTTAACTTAATTTTTTTTATTAGCTAACAGACTGGTAATCTGAGAGAGAGAAACAACTCTTTTTCCCTATTCTAATAAACCTTAGGTTTCATTATCATTGAATTTTTTTTATCTTCCTGGATAATATATAATCTCTCTTCTATTCTCTCTCTTTTTCTCTTTGAGACTTTTTTTAAAAAAAAAAAGAAAGAAAAATAAACTTAAAATTTGTATAAAATAAGTGAATTATTAAAAAGAAATGTCAGATAATGACATAAAATCCACAAGTGGCCATTTTTCTACTGCTAGGAGACTTGGGAATTGTCTCAAGGACAAATGCATGAAAAGAGAGAATGACCAGAAGTAAATTTTGGTAAATTTAAATCTGACAGAACCAAGTTAAAATAATTAATTGTGGTGATTATATCATTTTTAATACTGAGCTGTTAATTGAAATTTTTAAAAAAGTATTAAATTAGATTATCTTTAAGCCAACATGTTTATAATGCGAAATAAGTTCACTAAATTTAATGTTGAGTTCAGTAGTTTGAGAAAGAAACATTTTTTGAGAAAGTAAGAGGAAAAAAATTTTGTAGCTTCAAAATTATAAATTTTATTACAAAATAAGTAATTCAATAAAGTTTTTGAAATAGTGTACAAAACTCTACCAGCATGTCATCCTTATGAAGTTATTAAAGTTGTCATTTATTATATTTTATTATAAGTTATAGTACAAATGTTATTCGTTACTATTACTTTCATTAAGAACGATAATAAATATGTTATATTTTAAGGAAAGAAAATTGTGAAACTTTTCAAAATTCAAATCATCCAATCTGTCAGTTAAAATTCTTTCTGAATGTAGTGATTGTGTGGAGATAGATATGGCCTGTATGCTGTCTGTTGAAAAGTATTTTAAAACCTTGGGTTGGTTACTTTCTTTTAGAGTTGTATTCCTAGCTGACACCATTTTCTCTTTGTCTTCCCTGTCTTTTTCTACTGTCCCTCCCTGCCAGGCTAACTACCACCACGTACATACTCATCTACACAGCTACTGCATTTTTCTGCAGGAATTATAAACAGACTTCAAACTAATACCTCTCTCTCTTTTTTTCCTTTCTGTGTAATTGTTATTAATTATCAATATTTAATCTATTATTGATGTTGAAATTAAATAACTGTAAATAAATTGTCTCTCATAGCTTTGTTCTTACTACATCCATTATACCTGAGCTCTGATACATTCACAAATAATTAACCCCAATGCTAACTAAATATCCTAATGTTAAATCCTATATGGCATATGCTCTTGAAATAGATCAAGATAAATAAGACCAAATTCCCACTAGTACCTTATATACAAATCAAGGATTTATTCTATTGAAGTTGTGTTTTAAATTTAACCTCAGGTATAATGGGTTGACTTATTTTGTTTACAGCTTCTCCTCTTTGGAGAACATGGCTCACTGCTTCTCTTATTTAAACTGTTTATTCCAAAGTTGAAAATAGTAAATCTATGCTTGGAAGTAATATTTTATAACTCATACTCACAAAACTGATTGTAGGTTTGTAAAATGTACAATATTCAGTGAGTAGAGTAACGTGTCAGGAAATATATATGCACGCACACATACTCTCACACACTAAAATCCAACCAGGCATCTGATTTTTGGTCAGACCAAGAACTTTTCAGTACCCAGTTGTTTATACTGGATGTGGCAGAAATATTGTCCACATATTGGTAAAATATTAGTGGCAGTGGTGTCTTCATCTAACATTTACCATTATGTGGAAGGTATTTCCACTGCGTCTTGTATAAAATAAGTTTAAGCTTAAAATTATTATAGTTTTATCAGTTATTATATGAGATATCTTGGATTTTACACACTCTATATTTTTAATGAGAGACTTACTTGCTTTAACTCTTCTCGATTGATTTAATTTTTAATTCTATAAAGCAAAGAGAATCTGTTTACTTTGATAGTAGCCTAGATTTGTTAGCTTCATGTAGATAACTTTTATGTTTATCATTTCTTCAGCTTTGATATGTGATTTATGGATTGATGTTAAATACTCATTCATGTTTATTTGAAATTAATTTTTTATGCTAAAAATGCTATGACTGCCTGTTATTAAAATGGGGTTAATTTATTGTTTCCTATAGTGTATAGGGGAATATGACTAGTACACAGAGGGTTACAGAGAGGGAATGTGAGAGAAAAGAATGGGTATAGAGGGGACTGAAGAAAGGATAAAAACTTGAATAGGGTTAAAGAAGACAGAAGATGGTGATTGACATTGCATTTAAATTTCTGAAGATTGTAGCTATCAGGGAAGCAAGGAAACAGAAGGGAGTTCCCCTGGCAGGAAGTGCAAGAAATAAAACTGTTGGAGTAGAAGTGGCACTTGCATTTACCTAATTCAACAGTAAAAAAGGTGGGTTCTAGATGCCAATCTAGTAGCATGCTTAAACTCATGTAGTTCAGGCACTGGGGAGAAAAGCTCGTCAGAGCAGTAGCCATGAAAATATATATTTCTTGGATATTGGATAAAGATGGTCTGTAGTTTTTACTGAAGAAACTGGAGATAAATATTTCAAGCCAAAAGAGCATCTTAAAGATTAGGGTCTTTTAAAAATTCCCAGATCTGCAATTAAACTAATCACATGAGATGTTTCTTCCAATCTTTGGGTATCAGTTGATAATGGCTTTCTTTTGGACTTATGGCTAATGACCTTATTATAAGCCTGACATTGATTTCAAAACATAATTGATAAATTAACAATTAACAGAATAAATAAGATTACAAGTGATAACACATTAAAAATACTAAAAATGTATCTGCATTAGGGTTAATTATAAGATTGACCAAGACTTTGTTACACAGATAAACTATAGGGGGAAAATGGTGACATTTAAACAGAAGAAAGGAAATGTACCAAAATGCTGTTTAACTCGGGAAATAAAAACTGAAAGTGGAGAAAATGTCACTCATAGAGAGATTCCTATTACATATATGATTGGTGTTGTTTTTTTCTGGAAAATGCTAATATGTTAGATTTTTAAGTGTAGATACTCTTTAGGCTGTTCTCTTGAACAACACAAAGACAAAACACTGTAAGTGTAAAAGGCAGGCCTTGTAACAACTCTGAGGGAGAAACTTGAATGAAAATTAAACATGATTGCTTACATCAGAATGAACTCCCATTCAAAACTGTTTTCAAATATATTGATAGTACAATGAAAACTACTTTTTTTTTTTTTTTAGATCTACTAAGAAACTTGTTAAAGTGTCTTTCAAGATTTGCTCCAAACAGAATTAGTCAATTAGTGAACCTCCAGACAATATGGAACATACTGTGAAGACAATGGATGATCTAAATGTTAATGAAAGATCCTTAAAAAAATTTCCAGAGGTGAAGTTAATTCTAGATTTACTGCCTGGAATTTTTTTGATCACTAATGCAAAATTAATGTCAATGAGAGATGCATTATCCAACAGAATCACATGGCAAATTTGACTAACTCATCAGATTCATTATTGAAATATATGCAGTTAGCTTGGTTGAGGATTAACAAGAGAGATAGCAAATCCCATAACCAGCAACTTCATATATTCAATATGTTCTAAAGAATTAAGCAACATTCTGAAGAAAGCCAAAGGATTGCATTCACAAACTTCCAATATTGTGAATATTACTTTTATTGGAAGTGATAGAAGAAAAAATGTTGAAATGTGAAAATAAGTAAATATAAAAAAAGACTAAATTAATTATTTGAATTTATAAGATATTTTTTCTAAGTTTCATTCATTCATCAGAAAAAAAATTAGACTAAAAACAAGGTTTAATTTTATTAAGTTAAAATAGAAATTGAATTTTTTTATTTTTTTAAATTGATAAGCCAATAAAATCATAGCCATGGCATTTGTGAACCTGCAAACACAGAAGTATTCAGGTGTCACTGATAAATGATACAAAACTGGAGTTTCAATATATTTTTATGTATTATACATTTATTTTAATGACATATAAAATGTTTTTGCAGTTATTGTTGAAATAGCAATTTTTCAACCAAATGTGAAAGTAATGGACTTTATGGCGATTTTTATTACATTTCCTCAAATGGAATTAAGAGCTAAGAATCTGAGATTTGTGTCAGTTCATATCATTAAACTTCAACTATCTTGTCTACAATTTTATATTGATTAAATACAGAAATTGTGGCACAAAGCCGAAAAAGTGGGAAGATGGGTTAAGGCTGGTCGACACTATCTTATATACCTAGCTAATCAGATTCACGACCTACTCATTCGTTACAATTTACTCATTTCATACACCAAAATCACACACACACACACACACGGTCCCGATTGAAAAACACACCCTGATTAAAATTTCAGTATTTACAATTGTATAAAAATTCTATTAATGTCATGAAATGATAGGGTTGAGGTGTGATGACCCCGAAAACAAACTGAAAAAAGAAAGATGTTAGTAAGATCAGT